AATTTAGTTTGACCTTCCCACTGCCTCCAGCACAGCAAAGTTAAGCAGTCAAAACTTAGTGTCTGGTTCCTTTGAACCTGCATTGTAAACATTGATACCAAAGTGCTGCTAAACCTAAAAACGTTTCCTCGCTCCTTGAGCTAAAATGAGACATGCAGGGTCTATCACCATCACCATCCCACACGGGGCTCCAAAAGGATCCCTTTCCCTTTCAACTGGTTGGTAGTGAGTTGGAGAAGCCCTCTCCAACTTTTCATGTCCTGGTTTTAATGTTACCAAGGTCAGGGAGCCCCTCGCTTTCAAGGCATCCACGCCAAGCTCGGAGAAACAAATGGGAAGCCAAGGGGCCAACGAGAGGTCGGGCCGGCGGCCTCTGACTCTCACCAACATCTGTGCGCTTCTGCCAGACCCTCCGGCCCTTGCGTTCTACTTGGGAGAGGTGTCATTACATAATCCCTGCTCCACGGACTCACTAGGGCTCGGGCTGTCCCACGTCTCACTGAGACACCACCCTCGAGGAGGTCGGCTGACTGCAGACCCTGCGGGTGGCACGCGTCCCCTCGCTCTGCGCTGCCCGCAGTCCCTCACTCAGCGCGGCGACCCCGACCCAGGCTCGCTCCCCTCTCCCACGTCCACTCGCGCGCTCCGAAGCCCGTCTCTGGGTCCTCCTCACACCCGCTGTCCCGGCCCCTCCCGGGGGTCTCTCCCGTCAGACCTGCTTTTGCAAGCCCTCTCGGGAGCTCCCTGAGACCCGCTGTCCCGGCCCCTCTCGGAGTCCCCTCCCTTCACACCCGAGGTCCCAAGCCCTCTTGGGGGCCCCTCCCCCCACCGGACCCGCTGTCCCAAGCAGTCTCGGGGTTCCCCTGAGACCCGCTGTCCCGGCCCCTCTAGGGGGTCCCTTCCATCAAACCTGCTTTTGTAAGCCCTCTCGGAGACGCCCCCCCCCCCCCCCAGGCCCCCTGTCCCAGCCCCTCCCGGGGGTCCCTCCCGTCAGACCTGCTGTCCCAAGTCCTCTCGGGAGCCCTCCCACCCCCCCGCCCCCAGACCCTCTGTCCCGACCCCTCTCGGGGGTCCCTCCCATCACACCCGCTGCCCCAAGCCCTCTCGGGGACCCCCCCCCCCCCCCAGCCCCGTCCCCAGCAGTCTCGGGGTTCCCCTGAGACCCGCTGTCCCGGCCCCTCTCGGAGTCCCCTCCCTTCACACCCGAGGTCCCAAGCCCTCTGGGGGACCCCCCCCTCCACTGGACCCGCTGTCCCAAGCCCTCTCGGGGTCCCCGCTGAGACCCGCGCTGCGCGCTCCTCTCCGAGTCCCCTCTCCCAGTCCCGACAAACCCGCTCCCGAACTCTCCTCGCTCGAGTCCTCCCGACCTTACTCCGCCCAGGGTCCCCTCACCTCGGCTCACTCTGTCACCGTCCCGCGCCCCGGTGCTCTCACCTCAGACCTGCTGTCACCACTCCCGGGCCCGGCGTCGCCACCGCCGCTTCCTCTCGCACACTTGTCCCCGAGTCGCTCTTCTGCCGCTCGTCCCCCGGAGGATCCCCGGGTCGCGCCGCTCAGTGCCGGGTACGGCCGCGCGGACCTCCGCCCGCGGTCTCGGGGTCTGGTCCCACTCTTGTCACGCAGGACCCCGCCGCCGTCGCCGCCGGGCGCCACACGGACCCTCCCGCGGCTGCCGCTGCTGCTGTCCGAGGTGCGGCTCCTGCCAGGGGTGGCCAATCGCACCCGACTGCGCAGAGCGCGCTCCGCCCCGCGGTCTCAGTCCGCCCGCCCCCTGCCCCCGACCACGCCCCCAGCTTGGCTCCGATAGGCTCTCTACTGACCTCCCCTGACCGCGGGGCCCAGGTCCCGGGCCGGATATAGGTACTTGATTGGAGGTGCCTGGGTGGCCGAGCGGTCGATGGCGCCTGAGGATTGGCGGAGCTGGCGGTGGGCGGGGCGGAGCGGGGCGGGGTTTCCTCAGACGCGGAAGACCTCGCAACTTCAGTTACCCTGCTGGCCCGCCTGGGGTGCGGTCAACCTTGTTTGTGCTGGCTGGGGTCAAAGTTCATGGCACTCCTCTGTGCCTTTGCTTTTCTTGGGAGTCTCCCAGAGGCCAAGGACCCCTGGGATTCCCAGGAACCACCAGGGAAGAGCCTTTGAGGAGGTCCTCTTTCTTCCATTATTGCTCAGCTTCCTAAGAAATTCTGCCATTGGTTAATATTAACATTTATTCACCCAGGACTTGTAAATAGTTCCTGGATTTAAATTGTTTTCATATCCTTGGCAAGGGAGTTGCCCTTATGTTGCGTTCGACAGACGTCAGTTTAAAGCTGTTGGGAAAAAAAAAATCTTTATACTGGATGTATACTGTGAGCAAGTAAGCATTCAATACTGATGGGGCCCATTTTGGGAGGTATAAGGACAAAACTTTAGAAATAATCAGTTTGTGGGTTTTGATAATCGTTTTGACTGTGGGAACAGGAACTGCGCGGTAGGCTTCAGCAAGCTTAGCATATTCGTTTTCAGGGCCACATGTTTTAATGATTCCGTGTGAACTAATGGTCAAAGTGCAACCTGTGGTAATCACAGACTCCTTTCACCTGCCGGGGGTAAAAGTGCATCGTGCTACTTGGAGCCGTTCTTTATATTTTTTGAAGCTGGATATGTTGATTAAATCGATACGGCTAACTGAAAACCGCTACCTTAACTCATAAACCCCAAAGTGTATGGACTTTGACAATTCAGCATTTTGTGAAGAAATTGTTTCATTTCAGGAACAATTTGATCCTAAGCATTGTCAGATGTATACAGGACTTTGTTCTCAGGAAACTCGCCAACATAACTCTTTTTTGACTTTCACTCCTGACAAAATTTGTGTTCTAAACACTGTACAGATTTTCCCTAGTGTTTTAAAATCATACTCCATTCCAATTACAATGCTCCCCTTTAAATTGGGATGCTGGGATATACAGAGAGGGCCTGTGGAAAGGAGGCTGGCAAGACTCCGTTTAAGATGAATTCTGAAGTAGGTGCCTCCTGATCAGTGTGACTGGCATTTTGGAAATGCCAAAAATGCATGGTGGTTCTGAGGGAACTTGATTTTTCAGGCCTAGAGAAACTGTCCAAAATTATTTAACTTATAAATGTTAGGTAAGACTAAAGTCATGAGAACTTTTTCTTCTCTTAAAGAGTATATGTTAAGAGCTCATCCTACCAATTCTACAGTTAGCAAAATGGATTGAAAAAATGGAGTGAGATTTCACTACCAGTGTTCAGTTGTGTCTATCAGTATAAAAAAAGAAATGCACGACCATTAGCAGATGTTATTTGCAATCAAGAAGATAGAAAACATAAGCAAGATAAATATTCCAGTGTCCTGAAACCAATTAGCAATGAAGTCAAATCTTTTTTTTCTTTTTTTTTGATTCATTATATCAGTGAACTCTAATTTCTAAAATGTTGGTGCTTTTTCTGGTCTATGATTATTGCTACTGATGGAAACCTAAGTTGCTCAATATAGTTGATTACAAATAATTTAGATGTGATCTAAAATAAAAATAGACTATGACTTCATCCTTTGGACAAGAGACAGTTCTAAAAACCTAGTTTAAATATAGATGGCGGATATATAGTGAGCCCTGAGAATGACTTTTATTTAGAAGGAGCTTCAGAAGATCTCTGAAGTCATGGAAAGACACTGCAACATTCTATTTTAGAAATTCTGGAGTTTTCTTGGGAGGAAAAATCTACAACAGAGCTAAGATTTTCATTAAGGTAGGAAATAAGAAGTGTCAAAATAAATAGGATGAGAATACATTTTTTTCACTTTGAGGACACTCTTTAGGGTCCCATTCAGAGATGAATTTGGTCACAAGGGAGCTGAGAATCAGGATATGGGATTCCATCCTGGGTTTTACATCTGCGTTCAACCTGACTACTTGTAAGTTACTTATTCTTTGGAGACTTGGGTGTAACATAAGGGGCAGGGTTACTTTGTACAAATAAACATCTCTGGGCCAGCTTCTTTAACCATTTTCCTGCTACCCACAACTAGACAAAGGACATCCTAAATTTGTTCATTAAGCAAAGCTTATAACACAGTATCTCCTACTCAGAAGGAATCACACCCATTAATTCAAGCAGGTATTCAGCTGTCTTTGTTTTCTAAGTTTCCACACATCATGTTCCTTACGTTAGCCTAATTAACTTCCTGCAGGCAAATGTTCCACTTGCTCAGTTGAGAATTGGTTAGCAAGTCAATGGACGGGGAAAAGAACCTTTTAAAAAATTAATATTCTAAGAAATTGAGGCAGCAGTAATGTACAGACATACCGTGCTTGGGTGTGCTCGTGTAAACAAGGCAGCCTGGACGCTGCCACTTTTTAGGCAAACGTTCTTTCCTCATCTGTAAAATCGGGAGAATACCTTATTGAGCATACCCACACAAACAGAAAGGACTCCTACAGACTGGGAAAACACCATTTTGCTGACCCCAGGATGGAATATCAGCATCCTTGTCTTTTAGTTCTCTTTTAATAAAGCTCCAATTAGGGGAAGAGCTAGGCGGGGAGGGGGGGGGCGGATGATCACGAAAATTCTAGATGTCAACGTTTCTCGACCTATAAATGGGATGGTTCACGTCGTTAACCTGTTTCAATTAAAGAGACCACCTCCACCTGACAAGAGGTTTCAACCCTTCTGTCTCTCAGGTCGCAGAGGACCCTCGCTTTAGGTTTGGCTCCTTGCGCCGCCTGGCGGCTACTTCTGGAAACAGAGCGCCTTCCAGCTTCGGGGTCCTGTCTGCGGCCAGGCCTGTCCAAGGATTTGCCTAATTCTAGAGAACTTGTCTCCGCCCCTCCCCACTACCCAGTGAGGATTTTAGGACGGCGATGAAAGGGCTGAGGTTAAGGCGAAGGGGGCAGCCCGTCCACCCCCTCAAGGATGATGGAGTCAGGCGGTTCTCGGACAGCTTGCGACCCGGAAGTCACCGCCGGCGCGAGGTCCCCGTTGCCGAGCGCGGGCGCGCGGGGCGGAGCTTGGCGGAGACGGGGAAGGGGTCGCCGCGGCTGCCGCTCTTCGAGTTGGCGGCTCCCTCGGGGGCCGGTAGGCGGGCGTCGAGTCGGCAGGGCGCGCGGCTGCGGTCCCCGGGTGACACGCTCAGCAGCGGCCAGTGGCGACATGAGTGCCGCGGGGCTGTTGGCTCCGGCTCCGGCCCCGGCTGGAGCGCCGCCGGCCCCAGAGTACTACCCGGAGGAGGACGAAGAGCTGGAGAGCGCCGAGGACGACGAGCGCAGCTGCCGGGGCCGAGAGTCCGACGAAGGTGCGTCCTCCGGCTGGCTCAGCAGCCCGCGGCGGGCGTGGGACCGCTGCGGGGGTGGGTGGGGTGCACGGGAGAGGGGCGGGGCGATCTCCGGGGCTGGGGGAGGTAAAGGGGCCGCCGGGAGGAAGTTCCCCCCACCTGCGCTGGGGTAGAGGCCGTGGTGGAGACCTCGTACCCTGACAGTTATGGGACCCCGGGCACTTGGGGAGCTGGTGTCAGAGCTGGAGGTCCATTTAAGACTCTGCTCCTCTCCTTCCGACCGCCTCTGGTGAGCCTCAAGTCTTTACTGGTGGGAATGAGGAAGACTTCCGTGGGGTACCTTGAGCTGCCCTGCGCATTTTAGTTCCCGAGAGACCACAGCAAAGCCCAGTTGGGCTTCCAGGTTCCCAAGTTGCTCCCTCCGACGCTCCACCCTCGGGGAAACGCTTTAGCCAGCCCTCCTTTGGGTCGCGCAGTGCAGGTTGAGAGTCCAGTTTGCTTAAAAGAACGGGACCTGGAATCCGCCGGATCTTAGGTGTAAATTTGGCTCACGGAACCCAGCTTTGTAACCTAAAAGGACTGACTTAAGCTTTCCGCCTCAGTTTCTCCAGCTGTAACGGGGCTTCCTATTGTAGGTGTGAGGATTAAAGGAAATCTGTGCATAAAGTACTTGGCCTGGTACTCGGTGGGCGTTTTCATCACTGGGGACGCAGGCACAGGTGTAAGTGGGGATTTGCTTGATGGTGCCCAGGTGGTGGTGTGTTTTCAGTTCCACGCTCTTTTGCATTATCATTACTGCTTCTCAGAGCCTTGCTTTTCAAACGGGGCTTTGCGCTTCGGTAAGTGTGAGGAAGACTGGTTTGGAGGGAATTGAGGAAGGACGTCCTGGAGGAGAAAGGGGAACAAAAGAAAAAGGACAAGGGAGAAAAAAGAGACCGTCGTATGGGTGGAATATTCTGGCACCAAACAGGGCTGTGGAGCAAAAGGTTGAACCAGCTGTCTGGAATGAGGAATGTGTTTTATTCATCTCACTGTGCCACATGCCAACTACAGTGGCTGGCATATGACAGGAATTCCGTGAAGGTCTCTTGACTGAAAGAGTGGAGAATGCTTTGTGGAGAGTTGGATGGGCAGCGGCCTTAAAAAAGGCAGCGACATGTGCGGGTAATACAGTTGAAGCAACTAATTGCGTTTGCTTAAACTACATTTGAAGAAGGGCCTTAAGGAGAGATTTTGAATGTGAACCACTTGTAACTGCTGCTAAGGCCCACAAGGGGGAGCAGTGAACCCAGAATTGATTTTCCCCCTCAAATAGGACTGTTGAAATTATTTAGACAGTTCACTATTTACTTATTCTAAGAACAGTGTTTAATATGTTCTGAAGCAGTTTCTGTTGTTTATCTTGTCTCCTTTCTTTTCCCTTTAGCTGTGACTTTGAAACTAGTTCAGTTCTTAGAGTTGAGTTGGTTGGTTTGTGTTCTCTTTTGTATATATGTGATGTGAAATGTGTTACAGGGCTCACACCAGGCATAGACCAGAAGAGTGTGTACTTACTAGGTTGGAGTACTGAGCAAGGCCTGGCTGCCTGTAGTTTTCCCATCTGACACATCTCCTTTTCCTGGCCTGCCAGTGTGGCTTCTGCAGAAGTAGCAGACTTGACCGTGACCGCCAACATCCGATGCACCCTGTTCTCTGGTTGCACTTCGCATAAAGGCAGCTCTTTGCGTAAATCCGGCCATGTATACGTTGGAAATGGTATTTTCTTTCCTGAAGTAACTAATATTTTCCACTGATGGTTTCTTGCAGGCCTGCATCCATTTTATAGAAGTTTAAGTGTTACTGTGTCAGGTGATGCCAACTTTATGAACTGATTTTAACAAGCTTTTCTTCCTTGGTTTTACTTAGACACTGAGGACGCTAGTGAAACTGACCTGGCAAAGCATGATGAAGAAGACTATGTAGAAATGAAGGAACAGTGAGTATGGATCTTTTATTTCTTGTTTGGAATACAGAACTGACCAGGAAATCTTTATAGTGATGTTGCGTATGGTTTTGACCATAGAGATTCCAAAGACTGTGTGTATGTGTGTGCACATGTGCGTGTTCAATTTCCCCCTTTAAATTTGTTATATTTAATCAGTCCTCCTGTTAAAAGAATCTTTTGCGGGTTGGAAGAATCTTGGGGATGGGCCATGTAGCAGGAGAGAATGTTTTCTACGTCTTCATTTTTTTTCGTTTAAAAAAATTTTTGTTTTTGAGGGTAGGGGGAGGAGCAGAGAGAGAGGGAGACACAGAATCCGAAGCAGGCTCCAGGGTCTGAGCTGTCGGCACAGAGCCCGATGTGGGGCTTGAACCCACGAACCGTGAGATCATGGCTTGAGCTGAAGTTGGATGCTTAACCGACTGAGCCACCCAGGCTCCCCTTTTTGTTTTTTTTAAATGTGAAAACCATAACTCAGCATCAAGGGTGTGTCCTGTTTATTCCACCTAGAGCTGAAGGTGTGCTGGGTGCCGGGAGAGCATGGCCCCTGACTCCTGCTCCAGTGCTCTTTCCACTTGTCCCACATCCACACTCAAGCCTTCTCTAAATGTGCCCTGAGAAACTGAAAACACTCGTTTTAATGTAAACACAGATGGAAGACTGTATAAAATATATCCCATAAGTATTTGTTGAATGTATTTTGAGGATCTTGATTTGACTTTAGATTCTTAATCTTTAAACCAGATGATCCACATTCTTTTTTTTTTATAGGTCCTATTTGCAAATGGTTCGTGACCATCATCTGGATTCTGTTACCCTTTTCACGCTTTGGAACCCAAAGGGGTAGCTCAGCTAAATTCCACCCACCCATGCTGAATAAAGAAGGATTACTTTTTTTTTTTTTATTGTTTGTTTATTTTGAGAGACCACGTGGGCTGTGCTTGCTTTTTATTTTTATTCTTTCCAGGCTTTTTACCGATTTATTTTGAATCATTTTCACCTTAAACCATTTCAGTCAGTTTAGTGTACCTTTTCCCGAATCTGCATTTATTTTGCTTTTCAGTCTGTTAATATTCCCTTTCAAAGATGGATTCAGAACTCAGAGGCATTGTTAACTGCACTCTGCGGTGGAAAATTTAGTATGCTGGGCTCCAAATACTTACTGCGTGCAGTTTACGCATTTGTTTCCTCTCCTGTACTCACCATATTTAAGCATTCTTTTGAGACCATATTTTAATTCAGTGTGCCCCTTAATATTGGATATAGGGGGTGCCTGGGTGGCTCAGTCAGTTTAGCGTCCGACTTCAGCTCAGGTCCTGATCTTACAGTTTGTGAGTTTGAGCCCCACGTCAGGGTCACTGCTGTCAACTTGGAGCCTGCTTTGCATCCCCTACCCCCCACTCCGTCCCTTTCTTTCTGGCTCATGCTCTCTCTCGAAAATGAACATTTGGAATATATTGGATTCACAAACATTTTTGATTAAAATTTAATGCCTTGTATGATTCAAGGTGAGACTTGAGAGTGCATCAGAATTCTCCTGGATCTTTTGATCAGCTCTCCTGTGGAATTCCTAGATTGTGTTTCACTCTTCCCCCAACCTATACAAATAGTGGGGTTGTATTTACAGCCCTCACTTGAGCAATCAAAAAGCTAGTGTGCTGCTTCTCTTGGACAGTTCATGTTGCAAATCTTATTTTTGTCAGTGTCAAAGTGGGGGTGTTTTTCAGATAGAAGCAAAAATATTGTTAAAATATGATTTACTTGTGGAATCCACCATTCAAACAGACTTGGCGGAGTGAATAATTGCCTATAATCCATTCGGTGTGAGGGGCAAAAATAGCACACTAGGCTGTTGGTGTGTGTTATGTGTTCTTATCCAGCTGGGGCTGCAAACAAATCCTACATTTTAACTTTGTTATTGAATTACTATTATTTCTCTGATCCTGGAAGGTAGTGCTTTTAAAAATGACAGGAAGGTTTATTAACTTGGTGTTTGTACCAGCTATGTTATCTACGTAGAAAAACATGCCAAAGGCATAACCTGACTCGTTTGGAACTTAGAATGTAATTGTAGAGTTGATATAAAGGCTGTGTTTAGGCCTCTGCTGCATTTGTGTGTGTATTTATACCTCTAAATCCACAAGAAAATGGCATCACACTTTTCAATTTCTCTTTATAACTTCTTGCCTATTTATTGTTTATTAAAATTTGTGGGTCTTCATGTTTGTGGGTTTCAGACTGATTCTCTAAAGGTGGGATAGAGAACACAGGAAACTACAACACTGAGTTAGGATTCCAGAACACAGAATCCTTGTCCTTTTCTGATCCCTTTAGCTGCTGGTACGTTTTAAACCAACTGGCAGACTCCAGTTTTCTCTGTTCACTAAAGGACGTTTATGACATTCCCATAACAATCCAGGTAATTCCTGTATGTAGATTATTTTGGAATTCGATATTAATGTTTTTCAGTGTGGCTTTTTTTTTTAACAGGATGTATCAGGATAAACTGGCTTCTCTCAAGAGACAGTTGCAACAACTTCAGGAAGGTTGGTGTGTTTAACCCTTCACTTCTAAGTATGCTTTAGTATTGCAAACCTTTGAAATCTTTCACTCTTCTGTGGGAGTGATTTAAAATTTGGTCTGCCTGATTTTAGCTGTCTGGTATGCATTTTGCTTGCTTCTGTCAGTAAAGCAGTAATTTTCACCTTTTCAAAATCTCAGACCCTTTGGAAGAGCATGAACTGAAAAACACTGTGCGCCTAAAGCTAGACATTTTTGGGAGAGACGTTGTTACCAAAGAATACGTGAAATGGTATAGTTCTTTCTAAACTAATTGCTGGCGAACTGTGGGTTATCCCTACTGTGTGTGTTTTCTCTTGTTTGCTTGGTAAATTAGAAGTGGATTGTATCTTGTGCTGTTTCTTGCTAAAGAGTTCAGCATCAGGTTAAGAGCATAGGCTCTCAAGTGCCATCACGGGTTTGAATCCCAGCTTCGCTGCTTTCTGGAAATTTGACCTTAGGCATGCCACTTTCTCTTGTTTAAATTTGTTTTCCAGTCTTCAAAATGCAGAAGGTCCAAGTAGATGAGATTACCCATGAAGGATGGCTAGCACCATGGGGACAGTGGGTTTCTTGTGGGGCAAGAAATATATTCTCCTCTAGCAAGGCTATAAGGCATACCTGGCATGGTTGAGTGAGGGATTTTGAAAAAGATGCCATTAACATACCCTGCAAATATGTCATGATCGGGAAAATATTTTCCATGATAATAGTGACCCGTGTAATTGGCTGCTTTAGGGAAAAGCAATGACACGAGTAGATATTTGGTGAAAATCTATACCCAAGCTATCCAGAATTGTCACTGGCCATGTGTGGCTATTTAAATTTAATGAACTGAAATTAATAATTCTGTTCCTCAGTTGTGCCAGCTACATTCCAAGTGCTCAATAGCTACATATGACTAGTGGCTACCATATTAGACAGTGCAACATAGGATGTTTCCACCATTGTAGGGAAAGTTCTACTGGATGGTCTCTACTGAAAGTTCTAGGCCTTACTGAAGAAGAATGAGCTTTTTTTCAGGAAAGGGAAGCCCATTGACTCAAACTGGCAGCAGGTGATCAGAATCATTTCAATCCTGCACCTTTTGACTTCCTCTCACTTGCTAGAGAGTCTTAATCCACTAGGTGGGGTGATTTCTGTTGTTGGCCTTGGTTGAGAACCAGAGCAGTTAGCTCTGTTTGCCTCTGCCTTTCCTTGGTTTGTGTTTTACTTTGAAGTTATTAAAACAGTCACTGCGGGTACTATAAGATAATTTTAGGAACTGAAATGTAAAACAGATTGATCTTCAAAGTAACGTTTTATTTTGTACATCTTAAAATCAGGTACGTTACAGGAATATCAGAAGAGGATGAAAAAACTAGATCAGCAGTACAAAGAGAGGATTCGAAACGCAGGTGAGGCTCTGTCTTAGGTGGAAGTAAATCATCTTTAAGTGTTCCTCCTTTTGCTGATTATCAGTGTAATGTCATGAGAGCTGCTGTCCAGCATGCATCTCAGATAATCCTTGGGTATGGTGGAGGGGTTGGGGAAGAGAGACTCCAGAGGTGCAGTTGGGTAAAGCTGGGACATCTTTTTTCCAGTGGCCAACGAACAGCCTGTAGTTAAGCTTATTAGTGTTGGCTCCTTGCGGTCGGTTATACTCCCTGGAACCCCCAGCTGGCTCCTTGAAGTCAGTTATGCTCCCTGGCGCCCCCAGGTTAAGCAGTCTTACACGTTCTGTCTCACGTCTGCTTGGCTGGCTGAATGTACCGTGAGAGGAGCTGACATGGGAAAGAATTGTAGCTTGTTTCACTCTTGTTTGAAGTTTGCTTCTTTTGGCATTCCCTCCTCTGGGAGGAAGGGGTGTCCTCTGTTTTTTTTCCCCTTGAGTGTTACAAGCATTTACGGGAAGAGTACACCTTGGTTCGTTATAGTACACGGTACGTGTGTTCGTTAAGTAAGAATTTGTGGAGCACCTGCTACATTCAAGCTCTGAGCAGAAAAGTAGTGGAACACCTTGTCCTTGACTTTAGGAAATGTGCTATTTCGTTGACAAAAGACGTCCAAACATGGGTAAGTTAAGGAACATTCTGAGGTCAATAAAGAACCATGCAAAAAGTAAGATGTGATGATCGTTGAAAGTGTGTAAACACAGATTCCTGGTCCTATAGGAAATGTTTTGTAAGCATTCAATTTCGAGCGCCCACGTAGTGCCTGTTCCTGCTCGGGGGTCTGGGGGGACCTAATGCTGGGTCTGCAGATGCTGTCTGGGTGCTGCTCCTCAGGCTGCTGTCTTCTTGCTTTCTGTTCCATTGTCTTTCCGGCTTTCTGTTGGTGGAACTTTTCCCTCTCTCCAGGGAGTAGATGTCCCACGTACACCCAACAGCAGAGAGGTAGCGGAGGGGTGCAAGGGGCGCGGGGAAAATGGAAGGACAGCCATTAGCCTTCTGTGCGCCCACATCCGCCTGCCTGCCCCTGTGGTTGTCCCCACTGCACTCTGACTTCTTGAGACATCTCCTTGGGACATCTTTGAGATCCTCAGCCCTCTTCCCGGTGTTCCACGTTAGGGAAAGGAGGTGAGGCATGAGGCCCTAGGTTTAGGTCTTCCTCTTTGCACTTTAGGTCTTGAGCTTTTAAGCAGATAATTTGCTCTTGGAGCCCCAATTTCCCCATCTGTAGGGGGGATACGAATACCTCATGGAATTGGTTTAAGATACAAGTAAGGAAAAGAAATGGATGTGAGCCACTTTTCTGAAGCTAGAACTGCAGCATGAGTATTGAGCTGTTTTCCTTAATTCCACGTTCAATCCTATCCTCGTGTGTCCTTTCAGAAACCTCTCTCTCCCCTGCCCCTGGGTACACATGCAGAAGAGCTCCCAGATCAGTCATAGCTTGAGCCTTAAAGAGCACATTCTGTGCAGAGATAATCCACCTGCTCTAGTTGTGTTGGCGCATGGCTGTTTTAACTAAAACAACCATCACCGACCCCGAAAGCTGATTGCCAGTTTGACGTGGTTCGGGTGCGATTTCTGAGAAGGGCACAGACTTGCCGTGTCAGGTTGTTTGTGCATCTAAAGCTGTTGGGGCCAGCACTTTGGGCTGTGTGTGCTTGGGCTCACGTGCTCGGTGATCCCAGGACCAAAGTGATCAGGGCTTCTGGAGAAGTTAGAAAATAATGAGTGGCTCATCTCTTTCCTTGTTGAAATTTTCTTTTGGTTTTTTTTTTTTTTACATTTTAAGTAGGCTCCACACTCAGCGTAGGGCTTGAACTCATGACTCTGAGATTGAGTGGTGTGTTTCACTGACTGAGCCAGCCAGGCACCCCTCTTCATTTAAACTTCCTATTCAATATCTATTGAGGTCTGAATTGTTAATCTGGAGTCCTGAAACTCCAGATTCTAGGAAATTATGTGTGGATGTGTGTATATGCTTTTTTATGGGCAAGTGGGTCCATAGGATTCATCATGTTCGCGAAGGAGACCGTGGTAAAATATGAACAGCACCCCCTGGCGTTGTTGGTTCACTGGCAGTCTTTGTGACCTATGCAGCAGCTCCACTGTCATCCAGAAAAGATTAGGTGCCATGGACCTGTTTTGTTTAAAGGGCTGGCTTTTTCAAGGGCCTTCTGATGTAGTGGGGGGGGGGGGTGGCTGCTGGTAAACAGTTGCTAATGGCCCGGCACATAGTGGGTGGTGAGTAAGCTGTCGAATACTCTTGGGTGGAGACTCGTAGGTGCCTGAGGAGGGTGGGGTTGGTAAGTGAGGTGGAGCTGCCTGTGCAGAGGTCTCATTAGGTCTGGAGCTTGGAAGTGCAGCAGAGACCCGCAGGGTGTTGCTGTGGAGGCACAACCACACACACAGGCATGGTGACCCGTGAAGAAAGCCCCGGAAGGGCTCAGAACCTCTGCCCTGACTTCTCGGGGGAATATCCTTCCTTGCCATGCAGAGCACCTCACACGTGCTTTAAAAACGTCAGTGTTGATTCTGCTTCTGGAGAAACGGCATTGTTCCTTCCTGCCCCATCCTGCCCTGTGGGGTACCTGCCCTGTGTAGGTACCCTGTTGGAGGGTACCTACCGAGTGAAAGAAGGGGTAACTTTCAGTTTTATTTTGCCAGGGGAGTTTGGTTCCCACTGCTTGTTTTTGCCCTTGGGGAGAACTGCCAGAAGTGATTTTGTTCAGGGCCAGATTATAACTAGAGAGTTTCTGCATCCTTCCCCTTCACGTCGATCAACACTTTACTGATGGAAACAGTTGCTCTGTGTAACGGTGCTTTCAGAAAGCAATTACTGCTTCTAAATGAATCCTACCATCACTGTCTGGAAAGGTGACACAGCCTAGCGAATCTAATTGCATGTTTTCTCTCTTTCAGAACTCTTCCTCCAGCTGGAAGTAAGTACCTTGGATCTTCTGGGTTTGCAGGCCCTCTCTGAGACTGGAATCTTGCTCTCCCAATCTGGAGAACCTTTCCTTCTGTTACCGAGTGGATAGTTGAGAAGCCCCCAGCTGCAAGCTTTCATCACAGCTGAGTTTGACTAGAGGACATTTTGGGTCTCCATTTAGAAATTCCCATCTGTTCGTTTATAGGTCAGGCAGCTTCTGCTTATCACAGGGGATGAGGGGGTACTCATCCCCCACTGCTTTCTCGTTGACTTTCACCTGACGTTAAAGCCATGCGGGAGTATGTCTAAGTTACAACGGTCTAATAATTTGTTATGTTGCTCCTTGACACAGCCCAGTCTCTGAAGTGGCTCAGGGGCTGTTTTACAGCGGAACCCCTCTAGGTCAGTAGGAAAGGCAGATTGAACATTTTTTCTTTCCTTCAGCAGACATCTGAGTGTTGGTTCTTTGTGAAGCACAGCGCTGTGGTACAGAGCTGAGAGCCTGCATCTTGGATGCTGATGTGTTCCTGGGGTGGCTAGTGTGTATGTGTGGGGGGAGTCCTGACTTTGAGAGCCACACGTGGCTCTGATAACAGAGCCACGTTATCAGAAACCATTTTACTACTGAGGTCAGTGGAACACATAGTCTGCAGGATGATGTGACCCACAGCCATAGCCCACCATAAGCTCCCTTGTTCTTCACTTAATGTGATGGCGAGACTTAAAAAATGAACACTTTTAAATTTAGTATTATTTCGGTGTTTGAGTGCTTGAGGATTCAGATACCTAAAAAATGATATGATGACCTAGTTGATTTTATCTTGGTATAAATGTCAACAAATCAAGTAACTCGTGTCATTTTGACTGCGCAATTAATTTTGAACATAGATGTTTTATCCAGAATGTACTTTTTTCCTTAGAAATTAAGGCTTTAAAAGAATTTATCTGTGAGAATCTGGACGTTTTACTTTAAGCTGCAAGCCATGCGATATAAGATGTGAAAGAGAAGAGGGGCGCCTGGGTGGCTCAGTCGGTTAAGCGTCTGACTTCGGCTCAGGTCATGATCTCACGGTCTGTGAGTTCGAGCCCCGCGTCGGGCTCTGGGCTGACAGCTCGGAGCCTGGAGCCTGTTTCCGATGCTGTGTCTCCCTCTCTCTCTGACCCTCCCCCGTTCATGCTCTGTGTCTCTCTGTCTCAAAAATAAAAAAAAAAAAAAAAAAAAAGATGTGAAAGAAAGAAAAGAACCGAGTAGTCAGTGAGGTATGCTCGTAGGCCAGAGTTGTATGGTTCGACTTCATGCATTTGTTGGAGAACTTGCAGGTGTCCCGCTCCTGCCTGTGCAGGCGGGTGCAGCTGAGCCTGTGTTTCCTGGGGAGGTGTTTACTGGGCTCCCGCGTCCAGAGCTGGAGCCCGAACTTGTGTTTCTCTTTTGCTCAGACCGAACAGGTGGAAAGAAACTACATCAAAGAAAAGAAGGCCGCGGTGAAAGAATTTGAAGACAAGAAGGTGGAGCTGAAAGAGAACTTGATTGCTGAGCTGGAAGAGAAGAAGAAAATGATCGAAAACGAAAAGCTAACGATGGAGCTGACTGGAGGTACGAAGGCACCACAGGGCGGGGGTGAGGGGGGGGGGTTGTGCAGTCACTCTCTTGCCTTCCCTCAGCTCCTCATCCAGGCAGAGTGAGCTGAAAGGAGGGTGGGCTTTGACAGGACGGCTCAGACTTCTAGCTCTGTCTCATACTGGCTGTGTGATTTTGGCCACCGAGCATCTCTGAGCCTATTTCCCTCTCTCTGAAATGGGGCTGATCAGACCTTGTGTCACAGGATTGTGGTTGGAAACGTGAGTGCCTGGCACAGTGGCCTGCGTGTGTAACAGGCATTCAGTAAGTGGTAGTCCTTTAGTAGTGACTGCAGCTTCTGGTGTGTGCTTTATTTAATTCCTGGGTCAGCCGCACATCTAGTTTATGTTCACGAATTACTTACGCAGCTCTGTGGTGGTGGGAATCTGTTTTTTTAGTTCACCTTAATGACAGGAGAGGCACTGTCTTCCTTCGACCTGGATAGGAGAACAAAGGCATTTGGCTGTATCATCTGTGCTCTTAGATCCCTTCCCCAGGTGTTACTGTGAATGTTTCAGAAAGAGTTGGTACAAAGTTGGCAGGAGTAGCCAAAGTGAACTAGTTTCCTGTAGAGGTAGTGAAGGTACCTTAGACCCTGAGCCAATCCCTCCCTTGCCTTCTAGGCTTTAGTAATCTGCATACGGGAAGTCTGCAGTTGTAGGCAAGCGGAAGGGAGAAGCAGCGGGGGCTGTTGTGCTGTCGCTGTATGTATACCGAGGAATCTTAGAATATGGGGCGGGAATTGACTTGAACTAGATATTTTGGACCTTGGCAGAATTTCTGTCAGCAAATACTGCAGGACAAGTCAGTGGTGAGTTCGTCACCTGGATGGGTAAGAGGCATGCCTTCTGCACACCCCCAAATTTAACTCTTGCCATGTAAGAAGGTGCTGGGGCTCCGGCATGTCTGACGTTAGTAGGGGTCTATAAGAAATGCGTTGTTTTCATGTTAAGTCCTTGGGGCAGAGTTTAGAAGTAACTGTTAAGAAGTAGTATATCTCTTTCTGTATTTCTGGTGCTGTGACCCAGTGGGGCCCTTCGACTGACATAAATTTCTGGCCCCAACCCCATGATACACCCACGAGAATGTGGTGTGTCTGAAGTGAGGGTCTCGTTCTTCAAAAATCTCTCCTCTGGTACATTTCCTTATGGAAAGACTCGGCGGAAGGAATTATGTCCTTGAAGGCCTCTGGAAGTGTCTCAAATGTTTTTTCGGTAAGAATGCGTGCTAAAATAGCATCTTCAGACAGTACCATCTTGTTCTTGTGGACATGCTTTGTTGATTAGACTGCCAGCCCTGTGCTGCCGTGTTCGATACCAGTCTGTCTGTTTTCTGACCTGTGTACCATTTTCTTTGACGGTGGCCGTTTCTGGCATTGATGCCTCATCGCTCTCTGCTAGAGCCACCAGATGTTCGGGAGTCTTCATTAGGCTAGTGGGAAATATCGTCAGTTTATAGCTGCTCCCTTTCCATCTGCAGGGAAGGATATCATCACCTTACCTGTGATTTGGCATCCTGATTATTGACAAGCAGTAGACATTGTTTGGCCAGGCCGTTTCGCAGTCAGAATCTTAACTGGGACAGGAGGTGTCCCCAGTGACTTGAGGCTGAGCCTGCCAGGGTAGAAAAGACAAATAAATGTGGGGAAGTCATTTGTAACGCAGTAAAATAGATTGCACAAGTGCTTAAAGCTAGCCATGGGCATTAAAGCTACTGATGTCCTTCCTCAAGCCGTTTGGTACCCTTGGTATGGAAAAGCTCTGCCAAGGTAATGATAGAGCGTCGGAAGAAAAGGCAGTGGAGCTAGAAGGATAATTAGTGTTCCCACAGATGGTGCCGCTATGGTGCTGGATGAAAGGCCTGATCTCACTCCTCTCATTGAGTGACTCATTTCACCTTTGTGGATTGATGCCCAGTATCAGCATTGGCTGGCTCTGCCTGGAAAAGATAGTTCTTTAAAATCTCCTCTTGTGGTCCAACGTGAAGCTCTCTCGAAAAACAAGGCTGGAATGAGAGGCCGATGGGAAGCTTGGACCGAATAACCTGTTGGGAACGGGGAGAGCCAGTGACCTGCTCTGCCTGAACAGGCCTGAAAGCTTTGCAGTCTCTGTGGGGGTTAGTGGGAGGTTCTCCACTGCCCATGCTGCTCTTGAAGAACTTAGGACAGCAGGCTGGGCGGGCAGAAAGATGTGCTATCGGTAAGGAAACCGGGATAACCGAGGATCAGCGCTCCTCCAGCTTGGCTGTGTGCGTGGGTCACCTGGGGGTCTTGATAGGTGCAGCTGCTGCTTCAGGTGTGGTGGGGGAGCCTGCGATCCTGTATTTGTAACCACCTCCCAGGGGCTGCTAATGCTGTTGGCTGGACCACACTTTTTGAGTAATGAGGACGTGGGTGGGGTTACCGGAGTGTGAGTTTTCTCTGCAGTTGAGGCCAAGGTTGTGAGTAACCCAGATAATCAGTGAGAATTTAATGAGCTTTAAAATGTGGGGCGCTCGATCGTTTTTCATCCATTTGTCCACTTCCTGTCTTGAGGATAGCCGCCTTTTCTCCTTTCTCTTAACAGCCTATCTCCTTGGTCTCAACAGCCACCACCCGCCACTTCATTTTTTTTTTGTAATTTTTGCCTTGCCGGGGGCATGTTCCAACCCTCAGGTCCCTGTGGATGCTACTCGTGACCCCATTATGCCTGGGAGTTTCCTTTAGAAGATAACTGGATTTGTAGGTGGAGCGTACGAGTTAAATTTTTTTATAATAAAATTATAATATTAAGATATGCTAAAGTACTGTCTCCTGAGTACTTACGTCGAGCCAGGTATTACATAAAAACACTGGAATTCCTCATTAGGCTGACAGATGTGGATGAATCCTGGCCCTCTCCTGAACTTGGTTCTCTGGTGGGGTTTTCTCATTTAAGAAGGCGATGGGAGAACCTGCGTTCAGGAAGGAGAATGGGAGGTTTGGTGCGAAGGTCGGATGATATAACGCCTATAGGAGGTGCTTCAGAGCGTGGCTGGGGGCTGCACACAGAGCCAGCACTTAGGGATTGGGAACTTGTAGCAGTTTTCAGTTCCTGCATCTCCCTTCGGTGGACTTGGCGGAGCAGCCTCAGAGGGACGGAGACACTTGCTCAAAGCTCCCCAGTGGGATAGTGCTTACGCCACAACTCGTCTTAACCACCACATTGTCCCAACTTCCTACCATGGAAATACCGTGGATTCACGCGGTGCTGAGTGATTCGTACAGTGAGGCTAATACTGGTCCTCAAGGAGCTTGTATTCTGGTAGTGACAAGACTGACACAGCTCCTTTGTCCTGCCCAGAGTAAGGCGGTGTCCAGAGAGTAGGCTTCTAAATGAAGGTAAATGTTTGTCAGGCTTGTTTTTAGGGATTGTAAAACCTTGCAAGGGTATGTACATGTGGTTGTACTGATGCGGGCGTGGTTTCAACCACGAGGAACAGATGCCAGTGAGCAGGGAACCTTGGAAGCCCAGGCAAGGAGATGAGGCCTCACACAAATATCTGGGCAGGGAGAATGCCGGAGGTGACCTGGATTTGGGGTGGAGCGGGCTCGGTGCCAAGAAGCTCTTTGCTGGCATTGCCTTTGTGGGATCCAGGTGTTTTCAGTGGTTGAGGGTGCAGAGGACGGCTTGATTGGTTCACTCTTGTAATACCATCCCTGTGCTCCTGACAGCTTTGGCCTAAGGGGGATGGGGCCCTTCACCCTTCATTCCTACCCTGATTGGTTGGTCACCGAAGACCAACCTTGATTCTTCTCTCACCTTCTCTTCCTGCCCCCATCTCCTTGATTTGTGATGTTGATGAGCTGGCCAGCCCCTTAGAGAGGGGCCAGGATATGCTGGACTTTGCTCTGGGCCTCTAGGTTTGCCCTATGTTGCACTGCCCCTTGGTTTGTAGCCAGTCTGTTACAGTGGTTACCCTGCAGTGGCTTGTTTTTCTGCCACTTAATGTTCTTTTTCTTAAGGATACTCCTTTGAGTCACTTCAGCTGTGGCTAAACAAGTATGGTTTTGTTTTTATTTATTTTATTTTTTATTTTATTTTTTAATTTTTTGTTAACGTTTATTTATTTTTGAGACAGAGAGAGACAGAGCATGAACAGGGGAGGGGCAGAGAGAGAGGGAGACACAGAATCAGAAGCAGGCTCCAGGCTCTGAGCCATCAGCCCAGAGCCTGACGTGGGGCTCGAACTCACAGACCGTGAGATCGTGACCTGAGCTGAAGTCGGACGCTCAACTGACTGAGCCACCCAGGCGCCCCTGTTTTTAAAGTTAAAGTATGTTCCAGTGAAGCTTTTGCTGCATTCATGGGCTGTAGGCAAGTGAGCTGTTGGAGTGAATGATGAGGCCTGGAGAAGTAAGGAACCCAAGGCCAGTGGGGAAGTGGTAATTCTATGGTAATTGCCGGTGATTAATGTTATCAGGAATATCTCTCCATGGGGACTGGTGCTGCAAAGGCTCTGCCCAGCACTGATTCAGCCTAAGCTCCCGCTTCTTAGCCAGCATACGTGGTGCTACTTGGAGAGTGTCTGTGTCTGTCAGATACGGCCATTCCTGGTCTCCTTGCTGGTGGGTAGAGCAGGAGGAGTTATGCTGTTAAATGTCATATGTACAAGGTGGTTTGGAGAGGAGCTGCGTACCTGGTCTCAGCCCTTGTCCAGTGTTTCTGCCTCCTGTACTCTCCTGCCTCGGTGTGTTTGGTATTCAGTTAGATCACAGATAGTATTGCCATGGAAGCAAACCTATGAAGGCTCCTGGGTGTTCTGAGAGGCTTTCTGATTTAAGCCAGGTAGAGTAGTGTTGGGCTCGTCTGAGAGGAAGACTGATTTCCTGCTCAACCGCCTTCTCCAGGGCTGCCAGGCTCCAACGTCTGAGTGTCACTTCCGGAAGTCTGACTTTTATGGTGTCCCCACATTGAGCCCCTTGGGCCTCTTACTGGCCAAACTCACAGGAGACTGCTGTTACAAACTCAGTACGCCAGCCTGTTGCTTCTCGTCAGAAGTGGAACTTCTAGGTGGATTCAGACCTGGGTCAGTCAGATATCCTTTCTTTCCCTCTGTGAAAAATCTACCTCAGAAGGCTGGAGCGACATGAGTGGAGTCCATAACGTAGCTTCGGAACTACAGCGCGTGGTACTTACGTGTTGATCTTCTCCACGAGTCACGTGGCCAGGCCTGCTCCCTGCTCACTCTCCTGGCTGGTGGTGGGGATGGGCTACTACATCTTGGAGACTTTTTCGGAGCACCTTCCTTCTGCTGAAGCAGTCTTTTGGATGAAAATTGATGAGGTTATTGTGGTGGCTAGGCTAATAAAATGGATTGATTTTCGCTATTTCATAAGAAGAATTTGATTATATTTTCTGATTTGTGAGTGATGCAGTTATGATTTTCTGAGCCTATTGGCCCTGATTAGACCGGGTTATTCCCACATTCTCTCGGCTGTGCCTTGACTGGCTCATTTCCATCATGTGTGGCCCACCCTCCCCATGCCTTAGACTCGGCAGCCCAGAGGGCAGCGCACGGTCAGCCATTGTCTTTGGTGGACCATTCATTGGTGTTCATGTGCTAGGTACTCTTTCTCTAGTGTTCTTTGGGTTGGGCGAGCTCCCTTCACACCTTGATTTTTGAATTAGGTGTGAATGTTGCACAGCCTCACAGCTGACATTGGTTGTCTTCAAGCGTGTAACTTCTATTTCATTCAGCTGTTTGTACCTTGACTTAAAAAAATTTTTTTAATGTTTGTTTATTTTTGAGAGGGAGAGAGAGTGCAAGCAGGGGAGGGGCAGAGAGAGAGACACACACACAGAATCTGAAGCAGGCTCTAGGCTCTGAGCTGTCAGCACAGAGTCCGATGTGGGGCTGAAACTCACGAACTGTGAGATCATGACTTGAGCTAAAGTCGGATGCTTAACCAGCTGAGCTACCCAGGTGCCCCTGATTTTTTTAAAAAGATTTTTTGTACAGTGCTTTCCTGGCTGCAGATGGCGTAGTAAAAACTAGCATTGATTGAGCTCTCGTGACGCCGGGCACCATGTTTAGGGCTTTACTCGTATGTCACGTAACCCTCGCAGCATCCTGTGAGGGAAGTATTACTGATAATTCCATTTTATAGATGAAGTAACTTGACACAGGATTTACGTAGCCCACCTGAGGTCCCACAGCCGCGACAGGGATTCACATGCACCAGCCAGTAAGTAACTGGAGGAGTGCACCCTCTCGGTAGAGGGGGAGCCGTTTCCAGTAGAGAGGACTCCCCTCCCCGCTGTCTCCTGGGGCGGGTGTGTGAATCCTCCTTCCTTTTACCCCCCACTCCACGCACACCTGTACACACACTTATCAGGACTGCACTTCCCCTTCATTTATAGGGGCGAGAAGTCAGCGTTGCCCGTTTCCCTTCTTAAGAGCAACATGCAGAAATATCTTTTGGCTTTGTGCTCGCGACTATTAACTAGGCAGCTCCTGCACGTTGCCACAGTGGAAGAGGTATGCTTGAATTCCTTGCCACAGTGGAAGGGCTGGCTACACTTGAATTCCGTGAGGCTGTCCGTCTGCCGTGCTGAGGGGATGCGTGGTCGTGGATGAATGGTTTCCTCATGTCGTCGTCGTTGTGCAGGAAACTCTGTGACACCCCTGCCACAACTATGGCTTAGGTGCTGGGGTGGAATTCAGGTGTCTCTGGGGAAAACGTGCCATACGGTGTGGCACTTGGTAGCAGAGGTTTGTCCAGAGGTTTGCTCTGGTTGTTTGGAAGGCGGTGTGACTCTGGAAGATCATGTAATGGGGAACGTGGCGCTGGCTCTCAAGGGGTGTCGTGCAGGAGTTTGCCGGGCTGAAAAGAGGGGGCCAGGCAGAGAGGACAGCGTGCAAAGGCTTGAAGGTATAGTAAGGCGTGTGCCCTTGGGTGACAGATGAGCTAAAAGCTCTCACATGGTGTATGTGCGAAGGAAGGAGAAGGGGCAAGACCAGAAAGTGACGCGGGCTTTTTTCCATAGAAAGTGGCAAGCCATAGAAGCATTGAATAAGAAAGGGGATGTGTTGTAGAAGGATCTGATGTGTGTCTTAGGGAAATTGCTCTGACGGAGATAAGAATAGGGTGAGGGAATGGAGTTGAGAAGTGGTTTAATGGCAGAACTGCCCACGACCTGGTGAATATGATGCTTGGGTGAGGGAAGATAAGTCACAATGACAGAGTCTGTCCTGACCAAGAGGGATGGACAGATGTGATGTCCCCAAGACTCGGGAGAGGAGGCAGCCATGGGAGGTGAGACAAAAAGTGAGAGTGGATGGTGTTGCCAGGCATAGGTTGCCATTCAGAAGGGTGGGGAAGCTGGTATTGGTGACAGAGGCTCACTGGGACACAGGTTGAGAACTGACTGGACTCTAGAGGTCACTAGCAGAAAGGAGCCCAAGGAGGCAGGTCAGGTGAGGGGAGATCTGGGTGGTGATGGCAAGGGGAGGAGAGATTTTAAGGTAAGGAGAGTCAACAGCAGTGTCAGACTGCAGAGAAAAGTCCAGAAGAATGAAAAAGGCCTTTATTATGAGCCTTCATTAGATCATTCTTGATAGTTAAGTAGCTAGAAAACGTTACAGAATAAAATGAAACTGAAGAGTCTAAGTTTGTACATGAAGATGTCCTATAAAGATGTTGGTGCTGAGACCAGTGACCTTTCACAGAGCCTTGTGCACGCATGTGCTTCAGTTTCCCTCCCTCCGTGGGCACTGCAAGAATTAGTTGACCGGGATGACCCGAAGGTTCCTTCTGATCCCAAGAGCTACCACTCCGTGGCTTCTTAATTTGAGGGAAGAGGAGGAAAATTCTAGTTTTTGGGGTGCTGGAGAGATGCCTGCAGTGACTCCACAGGTAGACCGCAGGGTGGGGCTGCATTTCGGTGGGGGGCGGGGCAGCGTGCACTTAGGCCATCCAGTCTGAGTCTTCAGGATAGCCCTCCTCTGAAGTCTGAAATGGATGTCTGGCTTGGGCCATGTCCGGATGTCCCCAGTAAAACAGTTCTGATTGGGTGGCTCTGGGGCAGATATTTGTACAGTACAGCAATTCTTACTGACTTCAAGTGGTAGTCGGATAGATTTACCCATTCAATTCTTGCCACAGATTCTATGGAAGTGAAACCCATCATGACCAGAAAGTTGCGGAGGCGACCAAATGATCCTGTCCCCATCCCAGACAAGAGGAGAAAACCTGCTCCTGATATCCATTTGCATCAAGCCTTAATTTTTTATCAAGCTGTTTTTCTTTAGACTGAATCTTTTGCTTATCTGTTTGTTAGAATATATATGGCCACTGTCTTACAGAAATTGTTGTGATTGGCAAGCGTGTGTATTTACCCATGAGCTAGGGAATGGCCGTTTTACTGTTGAGTCCTTAGTTGCTGCTGCTTCCAGTGGGAGGGGTTTATAGATAGCAGTTTTTGGAAAGGCACTTGGTGTTGGGAGTTCAGCCTGGTGTTAACACTTGGAGATTCAGGGCGACCTCAGATTACACGTGCCTTAATTTTTCTACCTGTAAAACAAGGACAGTGATACCTATCTTTTGTACCTCTGTTATCTACATCCTGAAACCAGTGCAATGCAAATTGTTAAAGTGAATGAGATTTCAGTCTCATAAAAAAGCCCTTTAGTCATAAAAATGGGAGTGGGAAGAGGGCACGCACGGCAAAGTTCTTTCTGTTTCTTTGTTCTTGGAGAGGATAAGTGGCCATTTGCACAGAATGATTCAGTTGTTTGCCACCAAGAAAGGGTTTTGACTTCAGGTACCTTTGTCTTCACAACCAAGGGTTTAAGTTACGTGGGAAGGACAAGCCCACGCATGTGTGTGTGTGTGTGTGTGTGTGTGTGTGTGCGCGCGCGCGCGCGCGCGGCTTCGGATCTTTAGAACAAGAGCACTTCATAAACTGAGGAGGAAGTTCTCCTGGTACCGTGTCCTGTGCTCTCACTCTTGTAGTTTCTGAACGACTTAGAGACGCTTGGAAGAAATTTGTGAATTCATTTACATACCTGGGCACCACGACATTTAGTAGAATCACCAACTTCCGAGAGGCACGCTGTTGTAGAAACAGCACCTGACACAGTCACACTGTAAATTCTAAAGTTCTGGTACTGTTTTGTTGATTTCTGCTTGCTTGGAAACCATGGCCCTTGGACATGTTCCTTTAACTCTCAACACCCCAGCTAAACTATTTGTTAACAGATGAACAGATCATGGAGGATCTGAGAACGTTAAATAAGGTACGGTTTGATTTTTTGATTTATTTGAAAGCTTAGGCTTGATAATGGTTTTGTGCTTCATGTTGTTCGTGTGTTACTTGTTAAATCAGTTTGATACCTTTGACACGTGAAGTTGCATCTGAAGTGATTTGTTCTAAGATTTCTTGTTGTTCTTCCTACAGCTTAAGTCACCCAAGAGACCAGGTAAGTGCACAGTGTTACTGGCATTTGTGCAATCTTTTTATCATGTTGTTGGAAAAGCATGCTTCTATCTCACAGGCATTTGTTGCACTTTTCAAAAATAAAATGTTATTTGCCTAAGAGCAGTCATCATGAAGACTGAAGGGAACCTTAAGTGCACCCTCCCCTGATTTTTTTGTTTTTTTTTTTTAGCCCCGCTATGTTGAAGCTATTTTTGCCTTTACCTTAGGATTTATTGTAAAAGAGACAGTTGATTGATTGGCTGGTAAAGGTTTCCTTCTGTGTAGGCCTCAAGGTACAAGATTTAAGTCTGCCTCCATTTCTGGAAATGAAACCAGAAGGATTTTTCAGCATTACTTTGTGGAATTGAGTGCTAGGCAGTGCTGTTCCAGTGCCTTTTCACAGCCTGGCTCTGGTAAGGGACTCAGAGTCCCAGTTTATAGAAGAGGCCAGCCCAGTGTTCATGGTGGTTTCTTTCAGAGTGGCACTCGAGAGTCTGTGCTAGGCTGCAAGATAGAATTCTGAATGGGCAAGGCATTGTTAATGCTTTAAGCACTGTGATTACTCACACATCTCTCTGCTCACCAAGTCTTGTGGAAGGAAACAAGATTCTTTTTTCTCTTAGTAATTTCCTTCTGAGGGCCACCATTGTCTGCAGAGAGGTCCTGATTTCCTAAAGGCATGATGGGGAGGGGTTTGTATAAAGTGTATGAATTTAGATCCTTTGAGCTGTCGGTAGTTATGACCACTATGTTAACTTGACTCTGTACACACATGGTGGCCTGCTCTACCTAGTAAGTAAAAAATAATTCGAGAAATGAGTTCAGTTTTATAAAGACATGTTTCTAATTTTTGCCGTTCAGGGCTTCTGATCACTGGGGTTTTAGTCCTTCTCTTAGGGACCTTGGGCAAATCCCTTTGACTGCATCTCTGGTTTCTCCTCTGTTCAGTGAGGTTAACCTGTGCCTCGCCTACCTCACAGGGTTGCCTTGAGGAGCAAGTCAGGCATAATACACAAAAATTTTGTTGAATTCTCATTTTTACACCCCTGAGGAGTTAATGATTGAGTTTATTACCACTTTTAGTAGCATTTCAGTTAAAGCATGTTAGCTGGTGGACCCACATGCTTGTTACATGCTTGGTCACTGAAATATCTTTGGTTCCTCCAGCATCCCCGTCCTCTCCTGAACACTTGCCTGCCACGCCGGCAGAGTCTCCAGCCCAGAGATTTGAAGCTCGGATAGAAGATGGGAAACTGTACTATGATAAAAGATGGTATGTTGTGGAAAATCACAGATTACTCGCAGGAGTCTCAAAAGAATATCTTGGAAGAGGGCTGGGGCTCTCGTTATCGCTGAGCATGGCTGCTGCTTAACTTACGTACTACTGAGGTGGAGTAACATTTAAAAGTGTGTTGGGAGTGGGGCACCTGACTGGCTCAGTCGGTGGATCAAGAGCGTGGGACTCTTGATCTTGGGGTCATGTGTTCGAGCCCCACATTGGGCGTAGAGCTTACTTAAAGAAAAAAAAAATGCGTCAGGAGTCATTTGATCATTAGATCTGTGAACACAGCATTTCCCAAAAACGTGTTCTGATAGGGACCCCTTGTCCGTGCTACTATCATCGTGCTAGAATTTGCAGGCCTCTGTCTTTGGTGCTACCCCTGTGGACTGAAGCCAGGTCCCTCTCTGCCTTCTCTTAACTCTGCCCTTGTGCATGTATTCTGTGGAAAAAAGGATTTTGTGGTCAGATGAGTTTGGGGTATGACCATGTTAATTAAGGTAATTGGGTTTCTTCATTGTCGTGCTTTTTTGGGTTCTCTGATATGCTAATGTGCATTATCAATTTCTGAGATGTTATCAGATATTACTTGACCCCAGGTACTGTTTTTGCGTGCATCATTTTGCTATATGAATGTTCTAGGAAACATACTTGGGGGAGTTGAATCCTAAAACATTACCAGTTTAGAGACCATTTTTTTTTTTAAACCGTTATTTGCATAATTTTCTTAGCTGCATGTGAGTGTATAGGTATGTTACCTTAGCTTTTTAATACGCCAGAAATAATTTCAGAATAAAGACCATTTGACACCTTCAGACCACCAGCATTTCTATCGGAGAGAGAGAGAGTAAAGCAATATGAAAGGGCTTACAAACTCATTCGCTTACTCCTTCAACAAATGTTACTATCTGTTCTGTAACTAGGCATTCTGCTAGGTGTTAAGCCACCCTGGATCCCTCCTCGTATCACAGCTCCTTTATTCTGATAGATCCCTTTTATTCACTGTCCATATGCAGGCACACTTAGTTTATGTCATGGTGGACACAGATTTGCATTCTGAATTTTCACTCGTTTGTGTGGAGAATGTTTATCTGGGGTTATTGCATGCTTTCTGTACTTATCATTTATAATCGCTATCATTTATAACCTTTTGAGTTTCAGTGTATTTGACCTAAAGTTCCAAAATTAGAGTAATGGCTATTTAGAATTTTTTGAGCTTTGTTAAAGAAAAAAAGCGCCCAAGATTTGTTAGTTGATTACAGTATAATATCACACTTATGAAGTTGGCAGAAATGCTTAGAAATGTAGTCATGGTTGAAATAATCCCGTTCCACCAAAATATCAGGTTACAGTAAGTTAATTACCCAGTAGATGGTGAAGGCCTCTGTCTGTGAGCCTGATCTTAGGGACTTCTGCCCCTCTCATTTGACTATTCTCTGGCTTTCTTCAAAAAGTCCAGTTATATTGTATCTTAACATTGCTTATGAGAACATTACCACTAGGTGGCAGGCCCCAACAGGTCAACACGCTGAGGGGCAAAATAAGATGAAAAATGTTTCTAATAATGAAAACCAAATAACCTTTAAAGATCAAGCCCGCACATAAGAACTGTCTTCAAAAATGATGAGATATATCACTAACGTTTTTACGGATCTATGAGTCTTAAAGCCATGTGGTATTTCAAATGATGTTCATTTTGTAATTGCGTTGCTTCAGATCTTCTTTCTAAGGCTTAAGTCTCAGACTTTATGAGACTTCTCTTGAGGGTGAAATGCAGTAAAATAAAATTCTTGCTTTTCTAAAGAAGGGATCCATGGTGCCTGGTGTTTCATAACATAAACAGAGTGGTGAGGTTAGATGTGCTAGACCTCCTGAGCATTTTGAATGAATTTTGCTGTCTTTCTCATGGTTGCTGCAGAAATTTTTAAAAGGGGCGCCTGGGTGGCGCAGTCGGTTAAGCCTCCGGCTTCAGCCAGGTCACGAGCTCGCGGCCCGTGAGTTCGAGCCCCGCGTCGGGCTCTGGGCTGATGGCTCAGAGCCTGGAGCCTGTTTCTGATTCTGTGTCTCCCTCTCTCTCTGCCCCTCCCCCGTTCATGCTCTGTCTCTCTCTGTCCCAAAACTAAATAAACGTTGAAAAAAAAAAAAAAAAAAAGAACCCCGTCAAACTCGGCAGCGGTGGGGGGGGGCACCTGGGTGACAGTCCTTTAAGCTTCTGATTCTTCATTTTGGCTCAGGTCATGATCTCAGAGTTGTGACCTCGAGCCCTGCGTTGGGCTCTGTGCTGAGTGTGGAGCCTGCTTGGGATTCTCTCTTTCCCTCTCTCTCTGCCCCCTGCTCAAATAAATAAATAAACTTAAAAAAAAAAAGATTAATTTAAAAAAAAGGTTTCTGGGAGCATTTTCCTTCTTCAGTGAATTTAAAGTTGCTTATGGTTAAATATTGAGATTATTTTCATCTGTATTCTGTTTCTCACTTCTTTGGCTTTGGCAGTCAGAGTTGATGACATGTTTGTTGGAAGGTGGGTCTCTCCTTTTCCTGCCGTATCATGCGAGTCCTGGCCAATGCTCTTGACCAGCGTGTAGCTGGCCTCCTCTCTCCCCAGGCTCTTGATGTCTGGCCTTCGTCAGGTTGGGGGCTGTCATCCTTCCTTCTTCTGCACCAGTCCTGAATCTGAGAGGTCAGCACACCGCTTTATGCTCTTTGCAGTGGTGTGGAGTATTTTGGTGCGACAGGATTTCTGGCAAAACCTGTTTCATTGAGTTTTCAATGACTTCAGCAAAATGAGTGTGATTCAGGCTTCCCATCTCTGCGTGAACACTTATCAAGCTACGTGTCGTTTTGAAAGATAAGCATCTTTGCTTTGCCTTGGTCTGGTAGTGCTTTTAAGGCATTTTATGTCCTGCTGTAAGTCTTCCTCACATTTTGATTTGGACTAATGATCCTTCTTAGCAAGTACCACGAAAGTGGCTGATACTTTAAAATAACTAACTGATGGTGCCGGCGGACTGGTTTATCTCTCTTTACTTTAAATCTGGGGCTGCTGATGTGAATCAGGAACGAAGTCCCCCTGCTTCCTCCAGTCTTTGACTGACAAAGACTGTTGAGACGGTGAAGATTTACACCTGGCATCGGGGCTCCTTGAGGTTCCAGAGCTGTAACATGGCATTTAGTTTTTTTGGGAAATGAAATGTTAATATCAGGGTTCCCAGTAGGATACAAAATTAAATTAATTCTACCTCCTCCTTTTTGACCCATGTTTTAAGGAAATTGCTTTCTTCCATGATGGTAGTGTTGATTCTAGTTCATTGGGTTTAACAGTAGAAGCAAAGCCTTATGAGCTCATTTGTCAGGATTCCCAGGTCAGGATTTCCACTAGTAATAAAGTGATAAAGTCAGTTTGACTTTTGGAGCTTGTTCTCTGAGGCTATTTCAAGTATTTTTTTCATCCGAGATGAAGGCAGCTTGTAAAATGGGTTAATTGGCAAAAAAGTCATAATGTACGTTTTTACTAATTTAGCTCTATCGTTGTTGCTTTTTAACAGTTTTTATGTCTAAGTTTATTTTCAGTTTTCTCCCTCTCTTTTATTGGTCTTTAGACATTGAAAAGTAAATTTGTATGTTAAGGGTGTCATATACTTTTTAGTTTCATTTTGAAAATATAAACGCTAATTTCTGAGGACTTGCCCCCCACCTCCCCGATAATTCAGATCATTGAATAGATTTGATATCCAGGGATAATGGTTCCTCAAGACCATGGTGTGGTGTGTGAGATCTGGTTCAGGAGGACCTGGAAACCCAGTTGGCTCGGAAGTGGGCTGTTTTGGGAAACGCATGGGCCAGCTCTACTGTGGAGCAAATGGTGACCGTTGGTGGACATTCAAGCCACCACCAGTTGGTGATCCCAGAGCAGGCAGACTTGGGAGGTGGCCAGATGCTCAAGTCCCAGACCACTTCTGGGATGGGGGATGGCGGTGGTAATAGACCTCATAGATCTCATTGTTAAACCCGGTCAGCGGTGTTGGGGTTTGCATCCTGTGCACATCTAAAGGAAAGCAACACATCTCCCAGAGTTAGCTGTTGTCTTTAATAGACATTAAGATGTTAATTTTAACATTACGTTTCGTTTTTACCCATCTTTGTTGTTCAGGTATTTTCCAGAAGCATGATTTGCTTGATTTTTAACATAAATAACACTTGATTATTTCAGAAAAAAGAAAGCCATGCAATAAAAGGAATACTATTCTTTTTATTATTAGTATTATTTATTTTCAAGTTCATTACCATACACTATAGTCTTGGTTTCAGGAGTAGAACTCAGGGATTCTTCTTTTACATATGACACCCAGTGCTCATCCCAAAAAGTACCCTCCTTAATACCCATCACCCGTTTAACACCCCCTCCTCCCAGCCACCCTTAGTTCTCTGTATTTAAGAGTCTGTTATGGTTTGCCTCCCTCTCTGTTTTATTTTTCTTTCCCTTCCCCTATGTTCATCTGTTGAGTTTCTCAGATTCCACGAGTGAAATCATGTGTCTTTCTCTGACTGACTTCACTTAGCATAATACCTTCCATCCACTTGTTGCAAATGGCAAGATTTCATTCTTTTTCATTGCTGAGTAGTAGTATGTATATATAAACCACATCATCTTTATCCACTTATCAGTTGATGGACACTTGGGCTCTTTCCATAAATTGACTGTTGTTGATGGTGCTGCTATGTATATAATACCACTCTTAATTTAGATTCACATTTCTATAAAATTGTAATATACATTTTATTATGCATCTTAACTACAGATTTACCCAGTTTTTTTCTGTGTGTGTGTGTGTGTATGTGTATGATACACATGCAACATGCATCTGTTTTATGTGCACAGGAACATAATGGACATAATGGACATAGTTTTTCCTCCTTCCACTTAGCAGTATATTAAGTACCTTTCCACACTAGTAACCTACTTCTTCACACTGTGACCTTTCTTTATTAAAGTGTTTAGAAAACAGTATCAGAATGACTTGGGGCTAGGTGCATGTTGTTTTGTGTCTTTGTCCCTTTAATAACTCATAATCCCTGTAGAACATCCAAATGTTCCCCTCTCTCTGTATTTTTATTCTGACCATCACTTGAGATGTTACTATTTACGTAGGAAAGTTGGCTTAGATGTGGGAGGGAAACTGGAGTTTTTGAGTGATGCTGTGAGTTAATTCAGCCTTTCCTCATGCGCTGTATACTTCAGACCTTGTGATATTACATATTTAGCATAATGAAGGTCCCCTGACCCAGTTTACCAACTGATCTCTGGCCAAAAGCAACTTTAAAGCTGAGTCTAAACCAATCTTGCTGTTCTAATTGCATTTATGATTCGATTTCTTTTAACAGTGTTTTCAGGAAGTAAATTGAGTTAGAAACCCGAGTTTCAGCTTCTAAGTAGCAGGTTAAAGAGTGCTTAGAACCTCGATTGGAAAAAGCTCGTTGTGGGAGTGAAGTCCATCTCTCACTGTGATATCTTGGCAGTAGATTATTTCATTATACCATTATACCAGCAAAGCAGTCTGCCTCTCCCTCCCTCCCCCCCCCCCCCCACCAAAGAATAGGATGCAGTGCTTTGCTGGGAGATGTGTTTTGGTAGAATTTACATGAGTTAGTGGGTTTGTTTGGCCAGATCTGTGCAGCCAGAATGAACCAAAGGTTAGATTTTTGACTGACTGGGGCTGGCCCAGGCCAGGGCTCCCAGCCGCAGCTCAGCTGACGTTTCCAACTCTTGCAGTCCAGCAGCTGCTCTGTCCTCCTGTGGCAGCTGCTGCTGTCTCATTTGGGCTTTGGCCCTGGCTTCATCACTTTCATCCTCGGCCTTGTCCCTGAACTTGTAGAAGTTGAAGGTGGTCCTGTGCTGCAGGCCAAGAGGATAGCTACTGGGGCTGAAATGGAATGTCTGTCTTGTCAGCTTCATGCAAGGCAGCTCTCTTGACTGATGGGGCCAAATTAAATCCCCGTTGGTACATACCCTGATGCTCAGAACTTCGCCTGGTTTATGCTTGCCCGGGTGAGTACTCAGTGTTTTTCATGGCCACTGTATTTGAAGCTGTGTGACAGCAGGGACCTTGTGGCCCTGTTGACTGTCCACCTCCAACCTCTAGCGTACTCACTGGTATGCGGTAAGTGATTAATGAGTCATCTGAGTGACCAAAGTAAGGGCTGAGTTTGGCCTTCCTTCTTATGGATGACTTATTTGGACACATTGAAAATAGGTTTGAACAAGTGTTCTATTATTTGTGTATTTTATCCACTGAACCTTCAGTGATTTGAGATGGGCCTGCCCGTGGGAATAGGTTGGTTTTTTGTTTGTTTGCTTTTTTTAGAGCTGGGAAGGGACAGAGGATCCAAAGCAGGCTATGCACTGACAGCAGTGAGCCCGATGTGAGGCTTGAACTCATGAATCACCATAACATCATGACCTGAGCTAAAGTCGATGCTCAACTGACTGAGTCACTGAGGTGCGCCAGAATAGGTTTTCTTTGAAAAATTGTAATTTACTTTTTGAAATGGGTTTTATAGTCCAAATAAAAAGTAAATACATGGTGTTAGTTTCCCAGCCTTTCCTCGGCCCCCTTTTCCCCTCTGCAGAAGGCCCAAGGAATAGAAGTTTCAGATTTAGAAGATTAAGAGGCCGTCTGGTCTAATCCAAGGATGGAAGCCTTTAAATTAAACCTGAAATCCGGGCTCTTCCTCAAATGTAAAATGAGACTCTTAATTATATTTTTTGTGGTGATGTTTTTCTGTCTTCCCTTTTTTCCTTCCTTTTTTAATTGGTGCCTGTAACAATACTATATTATTAAAATTTGTTAAGAGCATAGCTCTTATGTGAAGTGTTCTTTCTACAAAAGGAAAAACAGCAACAACAATTAACTCTAAAGAAGAGGGCAGGAGGAAACGTTGGGAGGAGATGGGTATGTTCGTGGTGGTGATGATTTCATGGGTGTATACTTACCCCAAACTCCTCGAGTTACAAACAGTAAATATGTATAGCTTTTTAACATGTCCGTGATACCTTAGTACAGTGGTTAAAAATATAAACAAATTTGTGTCTTGTTTTTGGCAGGTACCACAAGAGCCAAGCCATCTATCTGGAGTCAAAGGACAACCAGAAGCTGAGCTGTGTGATCAGCTCTGTCGGAGCCAATGAGGTAGGGACTGAACTCCCTAATCCTGCAGGAGAGGAGAGCACAGTGCCATAAGCTCTGTGGGGCGCCTCAGAGAGTGCAGTGGAACCTGGTGTGCTGTGCGGGTTAGGAGGGAAGTCAGCACTTCAGGCAGAAACTGCACGTAGTCACAGTGCCCCCTGAAAATTCCTTGCTTTGCTGGACTAACAACACATGTGGATTTGTATATTCCTGGTGGTATTTGTGAGCTCCACATACAGTAATTGAGTTGGGAACCACTGAGAGAGACCACAGGAAAGAACAGAAGGCAAGTCTGTGTGATACCTGTATGTTCGTATCCTGCTGCTTTGTAAGGTAACCGTGTACTGAGATGGAACTTGCTTGTGGAGCATACTCCATCTTTGTAATTTCTCTAGAGCTTTCATGTTTACTGAGACATTTGTGCTGTAAGGCTTTCATGAGGCACTTGGCACAGGGTCTGGCATACAGTGAGTGCTCAGTAAATGGATGCTGGCCTGATCTGAGCCACACACTATTCCTTGCCTGTTGTCTTTACGATCTGACATGTCCTCTTGCACCTCTCAGCAGTGAGCTACCAGGCTCTTGTCCTTAGGTATTGGTTTCCTAGAGTCTCTCCTGTAGGAGAGGGACTGGCTCCAAAGTCAGCTCAGAGGGTTATGCCCGCGGATGGTATGATTGACGATGTGAGTTCTCTGACTGGCCCTTCATTAGAGGGATGTCAGCAATGTGTAACTTGTATTGTTAGTAGTTTTAAAAAAGTTTAAAACTTTAATAGCTCGATTGGCTTGATCTTTTATCAGTCCACAAACGTCTGCAAAGAAATTGATTTTTAGGTGTCTACCCTCTGTAACTTATTCGTGCCAGTGCACAGTAAATCTAATGAAACTGGATTATGAAATAACTTAAGCCTCTTCCATTCTCCCAGCTTCCTGAATTGAAAATGCCCTCAAATGTGACTAGTTTGCAAAATGATTGTTTACTCAGAAGTCAGGGAGAACCTTCTAGATAAATGAATGTCCTTTTTCTCTAGGCTTGGGGTCTGTGAGTCACCCCAGGCCACGTCAGAACCAGAACAGAGGGATCTGATGAAGAGACCTGCTGTTTGTCGGCAAGAGACATTGTGACTTCGCAGCAGCCCTTGTGCCCTGCCCCGTGGCCTCTTGGGACCTAAATGTCACTTCACAACCAGTGCGTTGTCCTCCTCTGGGACACCTCGAGATTTTTCAGGAAAATAGCAACGCAGGTTACATTTTTTACTCTCTCTGTTAAAGATGGTCATCCTTTGACACAGTAGAGTGTCAGTGAGGTGACAAGAAAACGGTGACACTGAGACATGTCACCTGGAGGGGAGAGGCCTCAGTGTATCAGAGAGGCATGTGACTCTGATGATGAGGAAATATTTCTCACCTCGTGGAAGTATTCTAGCTCATTTTTCAGGTCAGATCCAAAGTGACACTGGAGCCACGTGGCCTTTGCATAAGTTGACTCCAGGCACATTTGGTGAGGGAGTTTGAGCCTTTTGGTGACTCCCCATTTCAGCCCTTCTGGGGGTCATTTTTCAGTTTAAAGTGCTTTTGCAAGGTCCATAGGGGCTCAACTCCATGTGAGATCTTTAACTTGAGTTAAAAAAATTTTTTTTTTAACATTTATTCATTTTTGAGAGAGAGAGAGAGCGTGCGCAAGCACACAAGCAGGGGTGGGGCAGAGAGAGAGGGAGACAGAATCCGAAGCAGGCTCCAGGCTCCAAGCTGTCAGCACAGAGCCCAAAGAGGGGCTCAAAGCTATGAACTGTGAGATCATGACCTGAGCCGAAGTCGGACACTGAACCGACTGAGCCACCCCGGTGCCCCTAGTTTTAAACCAGCATATTTGACTATAAGGTCTCTTGTTGATACATAAACTAAAGAGACTGAAATGAGACCAGGAACACTTTAAACCCTTGAAGCTGGCAGGGGGGGGAAGGGAAAGATGGGCTTGGAGATGCATGTGGGGGAGAAGCAGAACTTGAAGAACTTGAGCAGAATCCTGCGTCAGGCCCCATCTGGTGCATATCAGTTAAAACGGATGAGGAACGGGTGAGAAGAAGAGTCCGAGCTGGTTTTGGGGACAAGAACAAGGAGTTTCGACAGCAGGTGTCAGCAACAAGGGGACTCAGCCTTCCTCTTCCGTAAAATGGGGGTGAGGACAGGACTTCGTAGGGTTGTTCTGAAGATGAGAAAGCTCAGGTGTGTCGGGTGACCAAGGTGGTGGCTTTCTTCCCAGTGCTGGTGCAGAGGATGACACTTGCTGAGTGCCCCCGTCTGCCCTGGCTGCCCCCTGCTGCCCAAGTTCATCCTTGATGCCACACAAGAACGCCTCTGCCTGGTGAAATGGCAGTCGTCTGCTGCGATCTGTGGGAAAAGGATGTGGCCAGGAGGGAAGGACTGTTTCAAGCTCATTGAGCCTTCTGATGATCCTGATTGGTCCTTAGCTCACTCATGGGCTTTTGTTCCTCTTCTTGTTCTTTTTTGTTTTTTTTTCTTTCTTTTTTTTTTCCCCCTGCCTTAATTGCTAGGAAACCAGAATAGCGAAAAGCTATAATATGGAAGTCCCTTGGCAAGGAAAATATTTCCAAATTTGATTGACAGTTTATATTTGTGAACACATGTATTTTGAATGTTGATAATGCTGTAATCAAACCAAATCAAAAAATGTCATTCCTTAAGATCAAGGCAAAAACAGAACCCAAGATCACTGTGCTTTCCATTTTCTTAATTTTTTTTTTAATGTTTGTTTATTTCTGCGACAGAGACAGAGCATGAGTGGGGGAGGGGCAAAGAGAGTGGGAGACACAGAATGTGAAGCAGGCTCCACGCTCTGAGCTGTCAGCACAGAACCCGACGCAGGGCTCGAACTCACAAACCGTGAGATCATGACCTGAGTCGAAGTCGGTCGCTCAACCGACTGAGCCACCCAGGTGTCCCTGTGCTTTCCATTTTCTGAATCAGAGGTGTGAGAGAGGGAGAAGGGCGGTCCAGGGCTGCCGCCTGCTGTCTCGGGTGGTGGTTTCCGGGAGCAGGGCCACAGGTCAAGGAGGTGGGTTGAAGACCTCACAGGTAGACAGGAAGAGGTTGCCAGTGTTCTTCCCACACCCCATTCATGCAGATATTTTGAGGCTCTGGAAGATTTGCCCCTCGGTATTTGCTGTCAGCCCCTCTCATCTTGTTCCCTTTCCTTCTTGCCTGCAGATCTGGGTGAGGAAGACCAGTGACAGCACCAAGATGAGGATCTATTTGGGCCAGCTTCAGCGCGGGCTCTTCGTGATCCGCCGGAGGTCAGCGGCTTGACTTTCTACAGTGTTCTTCTTCCCTTGACCTTTTTTCTGGAGTGGTTTTTGGTTTTGTTTTCTTCCAAATAGAAAGTTTTTAACCCGGGAATTGCTCCCTTGGCCTTGGAAAATGGGGAGCGCTGTTGTGGATTCCGCGAGGCGCTTTGGTGGCAGCTGCTTCGGTCTTTGCGTTGCTCCTTCCTGCCTCAACCTCTTCCAGCCATCAGTCACCATGAACTCTTACTTTTGGGAGTATTGGGAGTTTGGTTTACTCATTTCTTTATTTTACTTTTTTGCTTATACTTTGTCTTTTTTTTTTTTTTTTTAAAGGCTCCTTTGAGTTTGAAGGAACATTTTTTTTTTTTTTAATTAATTATCTTTAGGTCTTTCTACCAGGAAGGGATACAGTCTACACGGCATTTTCATGAATCTGATTAGTGGATCACGTAGCTCTTTCTGTTGTCGAGCCCAATTCACTGTTTCTCCAGAAGCTTGGGGCAGAGGTCCTAGCAGAAGGAGATTAAGTCTCCTGGCTCTCAGCCTTCTCTGAGAAATAAATGCCTCGTGTAACATCTGGCATATGCCATCCATTCCACTGGCTGAGCGACAGAAAAACTTGCCTGGGTGACTACGTGCACTGAGTAAATGGGGTTGGGGGAGGGGGCATTTTCACGCTTATAATGTGCTGAAGGTCCTGCATTTTAAATGTTATTTAATGCAAGTGGTATATTCAGACATGTTTGTTCTAGCTCAAGCTGGAACGAGTGGTCATTTCAGAAGTTTTTATTTCTAATTCATTTCTGTCCCCTGCTCCAAGTCGATGGAATGGTACCTGGCCCAGGCTGATTATCCAGGTTATCTATTGTAGGTGGGGAGATAAGACTGATAGTGCAGTAATCAGTGATCTGTAGATGCTCACTCATAACTCAGATTGCACTCTTGTTGCTCATGCCGCTGTTGCTCCGACCATTTCAAGCCCGTGGGGCCTTGTTGTCGGCGCCCCCTGCCTCCCAGGAGGTCTGGTCCAGCCTGAAGACCAAGAAAACTCTGCCGCTAAACCTGCGCTCTTCCTAATGATTCCTGGTGAAACGGCCTTCCCCATACTCTCTGCCCCACCTTCCCATCATCGGAGGAGTGATTCCCTGGCACGTGGGGTTTTCTGGATGACAGCTGTCACCTTAGCATATTTAATGAATTTGGGGTTAGAGCAACTGTTAGCATCTCTCTGGGAAATCAGTAGACCTTACACATCCTAAGACATCTTTGTATGTAGTACCCCTCGTCTCGGGTGATTCTCCTCGTGTTGTCTTTTGATGTCCACACCCCAAAGCAAGTTGGGGGCCATGAAAACCAGTGAATCACCTTCTCTTGTAAGTCCTGGCTTCAACAGAGACCAAACCTTACTGACTCAGAGTAAAGACTTGTACAGATTCATTTTTGTTTTAATTTGTAATTCATTTCTCTTTTTTTTTCTCCCTGGTATTGGAGTCTCATTTAGAAAACAGGGTAGATGATGCTTGTTTACTTAGAGTTGGCTCGGTGTTCTGTGCTGCTTCTCTGCCCCCAGCCCCCATTATGATGTTTGCTTTGGTGAACCAAGTCCATAGTAAACAGAGGCTTCATCTTTTGTTTCTTCTTGACAGCCTTTGCTCTCTTGCCTGAGTTGTCACTGTGGGTGTGTAACATCCCATAATATCAGGCGGCTATCTGTTATCCTCTAGTGCCCTTGTGATGGAAATATATCTAGATGTAGAGTGTGTGGTCATCAATGTTGTGGGGTTTTTTGTTTGTTTCTGAATGATTGTCTTACTTGGCTTTCTAGCAGTACACCAAAGTTTGGTTTTTTGAAAAGGACTGTATTGATAACTGGGATTCTGCATCAAAGCAACAAGTTGCCTTTTTTTTTTTTTTTCTTCCTTGTCTGGTGGCACCTTTGTGCTTTTGTGAATTAACTATTTATTTGAAGACCAGGGTATGGGCACTTTGGCCTTGCCTCTTCTGTAAATTTGAGGGTGATGAGGTAGTGCTCTGGCCTTGGCCACATCACTGCCTTCTGCTTCTCTCTTGTCCTCACAACCCTTAATCATAGTGTGGTGAAAACAGGGGCAGAAGGGGAATAGACCTGAGACACAGCACTGTAAATCGTACTCTTAGTCCCAGAAGATTTAGTTTTTTATTTCATTACCCCAGAGATGACAAGCCAGCAGTTCAGCCCCTCTGACAGGCAGAGCCCCCTTGTTACGAGATGGAGGTGCTTTTGTGATGGGCAAAACAGACTTTGAGGTTCCTGGACTAAGAAGGGGCTGGCTTTTAGCCCAGGTGGCCATTCTTATTCCAGAAGCTCTTTCGCTCTCCCTAAATTCAGACTATTTCTTGCAACTCATACTTTGAAAAAGGTTGATCTAGACAACTCTTAACAAGAACCTGTACGTGCGTTAATCTCATCAAGAACCTGCACTTGTGTTATTCGGATCAAGAACCTATATGTGTATTTTGTTTGAGGCACCTGCCTCAGTATTATACACGGTGTTTGCTATGGATGCGTCCCAATTATTTATTTTACCTCTGCTTAGAGCCTTTGTGTTGCCTTCCCCACCACCTGACTCCCTCTCTCCCAAAGCCAGTGTCCTCTTGAACAGTTTCCAGATTTCCGTAGCCATACCAAAGCCGGGATGTTTTCATTTGTTTGGATACCAGTATTTATGGATCTCTAACTACATAATTTCTCTCTTTCTTTCTTTCTCTCTTTCTCTCTTTCTCCCTCCCTCCCTCCCTCCCTCTCTCCCTCTCTCTCTCTCTCCCTCCCTCCCTCTCTCCCTCTCTCCCTCCCTCTAACTGGGGCCAGTATAAGATCCCAGAGGCTGATCTGCGAATCAAGCTATTTGTCTTTGTGTGTGAGACCCTGTATTCAGGGTTGGGTGACTTTTCTAAGAGAAATACTGGGAGCGGGGAGGGGGTTGGTCGCATTTTTTTTTTTTTTTTTTTTAACCTACCTTGGGGTAGCGGGGGAAATCCTATTTTTTACAATATTTTAGTTTTTGTTTTTGTTTTTCTATTAACCTTTCCTTTTATCCTTGAATTTTTACTAAATTTCCTCCTGACTTAAAAATCTAGTTTCTAATTTGGGAATTTGAAATCTTGGTACTTAATGTTATGCCATTTTTTCCAAAGAGTTCAAACCACTTTAATACCAGAACATGGTAAAATATTTGCAGCCATTTGAAGCAGCTGGTGGGCTTTTTATATATTCTCATTAACTGGTACCATTAAATGTTCTGAGAGGTGAATGTAAAATGTAAAAAGTTATAGGGTTGTTTTTTTTTTTTTAAATAACAATAAACTTTCAAAGAGAAAACCAGCATGTAGTCTGTGTTATATCCATTGACTTGATAAATGATTGAAATTTATTTTAGGTTTTCCCTCCAGCGTTGTGGGAGAAGGAAATTGGGAGAGAGGGAGGGATATACTAGATACTTGCTCGTTGTGAAGAGGAAGATATGGAGTGATGTCAAAGATAGGCTCTCAGTTTTGTAAAGAGCAGTCTAGAGGTGTTGACCCATCAATGTGATAAACTCTCCTTGTTGGAGATGATAAAACAATTTCATGGAAAGTTGAGTCAATGCAATTGACCTTAGATAGGAAAAACCTTAAGGTAGACTCGTATGATTGAAGAAGATGCTGCCATTTGGTACTCTAGAGCACTGCTTCCCAGTTTTACCAAAGGGGGGAAAAATGCTGGTATTTCTACAGCTCCCTGGTGGGTAAACTGAGGAGGCTGCCAACTGCCACAGGTGACAGACCTGGTGTGCTCACGACCCGGGTGTGGCATGCCCAGCAGGAAGGGCTGCTCTGTGCTTTGGATGTTGGAGAAGGGTGGTCACTATTTTTAAAATTTTTTATTGTAACATTTGTACAGAAAAGTACACAAATCTTATTTGTACAAGTTGAATCTTCTCAGCGTGAATGCGTCCATGTAACCCGTCATCTAGATTGGGAAATAGCACTACCAGCACCCACAGCCTGAGCAGGCTTCCTTCCGGTTGCCAGTCCTTGCAGGGGTAAGGGCTAGGTCGACCGGTTTTCTCTATTTTCGTCATCTTAACCTTCAAGCTCTTGAGCACCTGGGTCTTTCTAGAGTTGTAGAAGAGCCAAGTCCCTGGTGGAGGCTAGGGGTTCGCCAGGGACGTGAAAGCTAGTAGTGAAGGATGTGGGGACACAGGGGTGGTAAAAACAAAACAACAACAACAACAAATTCAGGTTAACTCTGTCACCCTCCCGCTTGTCGCCAAGGCAAACAGAACTTGCCCTTGATGTCAGCATCCGCTTTTGTGAGAGTTCTTTGTCTAGGTCAGGAACTATACTAAACGCTGCAAGGCAGGCATTTTCTGTTTCAGTCCTTGTAATCTGTGAAAGAGTGCTGATACTCCCAATGCAGTGTTAATATAATTTGTTAATACATTTGTTATATTGTTGATGTATTTGTTAACATAGTCTAAGACTTGGCTTAATTCTCCCCTGAAACCCAGAGTTCATCACAGTGCCTAGTCTTAGTGAGTGCTCCGTAAATGTTGTCAGATACTGTTAGTGCAAAATGATGTGCAAAGACAGGTGGGCTGGTGAATAATAATAGCTCCAGCCCTCAATACTGTGCCCTTCACTTTTATTATCTCATCGAAGCCTCATAACAACCCTGGAGAGAAGACGCTATTGTTATCACCAGTTTTCAGAGGAGGAAACATTTCCTTTATCACAGGGGGTGGTTAGGTAATTTCTCCAAGGTCACACACACACCAGCTTGCACAGTCCCAACTCTTTCAGATTCTAAGCTAGGGTTCCTAAGAGCTGCCCTGTGCAGCCTTTTCCCAGCCCCCTTTGTTCACATTGCATTCAGCATTTCCACCTTTCTCCAGCCCTTCTCTGGGAGTTTGTTTTTATCTGCTCTCACCTCTTATAGAGCAAATTTCAGAGGTAAAAACGCTATAATTTGCTAGGACCCTTTCCCCTGCTAGATAACTCCGGGCTTCTTCCTTGGTAATCGAGTTGTGAGAGTCACAGTTACTAGCTGAGAGGTCCCTTTGATCTGAAACAGTGTGGGCAGGTGTGTAACGGAAAACAGGGAGCCATTTAGAATGTAAAGAGTGAATGACCTTGATGGAGCCGACTTTAATAAGCAACATGAGAACCTTTGGAGGAAAACACTTACCTTTTTTTTTTTTTTTCCCCAGATCACTCTCTTCCTGCCTGCCTTTCTTGTCATCTCTGAAGTAAGCAGGGAAGGGTAGGAGCCATTGAACTGGTTTCTAAAAATGTAGATGGAGAGCTGGACACGCTACATCTTGCTGCTCTCTGGATATCGGTGGACCTTTTCATGTCGTGTCCTGCTGTAGAGCCACTGAATGAAAGAACACACCAGTTCAATGTCACCTGCTTCAGACTGTCTGCTCAGCTCCAACCAGCAGCCTGCGTAACCACCAAAGCCAGGGTTTGCGGTCTTTGGAGAGAGGCAGGAATGAAACCAATTTCTGGTCTCTTCTGCTAGTGTTAGAGATGCCCCACATCTATCTTTGGTAAAGCTAAGCACCTTCTCTGCTTTTAAAAAGACAGTAGATGGAATGCTCTAGAAACATGGGCACCAGCTCACTCTCTTTGGACATAATGACATGATGAGAAATATATTAGCTTTAGGAATTTTAGTGTTTACCAGAGTAGTTATTTTTGTGAATAGCTATGATTATTAAGACGAAAAGATATGTATGTTCAGAAGGATCCCTGGGGGAGTGAGGGAGATAAGATACAGCATAGGTACCTAGACACTTAATCCCTTTACCCATTTTCCCTAATCTGTGTTTGCTCAATTCTCTGAAAGATACAGATCTCTAAAATGACAAAATTCACTTTACTGATACGAGAAGACCAATAATCAGAATCTGAAAGATTCTCTCCCCTGTTTCTCAAAAGTTGGAGACTCAGCGGTGTGCTGTGTTTTTCTGCAGCCTGATGCTCCTGTCTTTTGGCATCACCTGTCTGCCTGCCGATGGGGTGAATGGGTGTGGGGTCAAAGTGGGTGAGATAGGGGCACCTGGGTGGCTCAGTCGGTTAAAGCATCCGACTTCGGCTCAGGTCATGATCTCATGGTCCATGAGTTCCAGCCCCGTGTCGGGCTCTGTGCTGACGGCTCAGAGCCTGGAGCCTGCTTCAGATTCTGTCTCCCTCTCTTTCTGCTCCTCCTCTGCTACTGGTCTGTCTCTCTCGCTCTCAAAAATAAACAAATATTTGGGGCACCTGGGTGGCTCAGTCGGTAGAGCAACCGACTTCAGCTCAGGTCATGATCTCGCGGTTTGTGGGTTTGAGCCCCGTGTCGGGCTCTGTGCTTGACAGCTCAGAGCCTGGAGCCGCTTCGGATTCTGTGTTTCCCTCTCTCTCTGCCCCTCCCCCACTCACGCTCTGTCTCTCTCTGTCTCAGAAATAAACATAAAAATAAACATTAAAAAAAAAAAGGTTCTAGAGCCAGTTAGGAAAGCAGTGCTCATAGAGAATAAGCAGTTATTGAAGGTAGGAGTACAGTGGCCTCAGGTTGGCAAGTCCCTGCATATAATTAAGAATCACTTTTTTTTCAACATTGATTCTTTTGGTAAGTATTTGAGTGTTTACTGAGATGCAGTGTGGCATAGTGGCAGTGTGGCAAAAGCAGAAGAGTTGGAATCAGTATTTGAATCCAGCTTTAACTAGCTGCAATGTGACTTTAGGCGCATTGGTTACATAACAGGCACATAGGTTAAATAGTAATATCCACCCCAGAGTGATTTTGAGGATTCTAATAATGTTAATGTATATAGCACTTACTGTATCCTAAGCACTTTACCCATATTAACTTACTGAATCCTTGTAATGACCCCGTGAGGTAGCCACTATTACAAATCCTCACTCTGTAGTTGAAGGAATTAGGAAACAGAGGTTAAGTACCTTGCCCAAGGTCATGTAGCTAGTAAATAGTGAGCCAGGATTCTGAGCCCAGTTTCTCCAGAGCCCTTGCTCTCATTCACCATACTCTGCTTTGAGGGGGACATAACACAGGGCTGGATCCAGGGAGTGCCCAGTCTCTGGAAACTGTCCCCTCCTTTGTCACTACTGCTGCCCTCTATCTGTCTCTGTCCTTGGATGTTAATCTGCCAAATCGTGTGAGACCAGAAGGTAGTTTAGTGCCAAGAGACAATGAAGGTAAAGTTGGCAGCTTAAGAGATCATGGTAAGCGTCACTTCCTACAAGTGGGTTGGAATGAATGCCCAGCGCATTGGGTTGAGAAGGATTCTGAAGCCCAAGTTGGGCAGAATGGGAGGAGTGGCTTAATCAATTAGTTTTGTCTGCTGATTTAGTTTGACCCCTTATTTTGAAGATGAAAACATCTAAGGCCCAGAGATGATAAATGATGTGCCCAAGTTCATATGGCCAGCTATAGGCAGAGAGGTGGTGGGGGTCCTGTACTCTGGTATGGCCACTCATTAACCCAGGGTTTTTTACTTAATGGCTTGATAGGGCACACTCATCCTATTGTGCCTCAGACTTTTCTGGTTTTAGCATTGATAATCTTGCATCCCAGGAACTGTCTCAGACCCAGGCAAACCGAGACAGTTGGTCACCCTGCTCAGTTTCCTCCTCTGTAAAGTGGGGATAAGAATTGGCATTTTTCTATGGATTAAGTGATTTCTCATAGATTAGATAAAGCACTCGGAAGTAGTGTTTGGGACGCGGTAAGTCCTCAATACGTGTTGGTGATTTATTGTTCTTGTGTTCATTATTATTGGAACAGAGGGTTCCAGCCCCAAAATGAGATCCTGGAGAACTTCACAATCATCCCAGCCAAGACAGGGGACCTTGCCAGGATCATCTGGTCACCTGGAGCTGACTGTTGGGGATGTTTTTTCTTCTACTTGAAATAGTAGTAAACTATCATGAGCTCGAGGATTGACATTAGTGTGTTCAATCCACATGCTGTTCATGGAGTATTGCATGTTAGGTAGTCTAGGTTCTTTGGGGGGATTTAGAGATAAACAAAAGCATGGTTCCCTTCCTCTGGGACAGTGAGGATGGGCAGCCGTGCTTGTCAGTAATTCTGGTTCAGTGGGATAGGAGCTACATTCGAGGCCTGGAGAAAACTGGACAGAGAAAATACTAGCAGTTGACATTTATCGGGCAGGTGGTTGAACACTTCATGTGCATTATCTCATTAATTATTTGTTGTCTGTGAATTTGTTGTTACGTATCTGGGGTTTACAGACTGGGAAACTGAGGTTTAGAAAGTAAGAAACTTGCCTCAAGTTCACGCAGCATGATTCCAAAGCAGGTCTTGCTGACCCAGAGTCTGAATTTTCATGAAGCAGGAATGCTTTACAATTACTTCGGAAAGAAAAGAAAATTTGAGCTTGGCCTGAAAACTGAGGCAGGCCTCAAGCAGTGTCCATGGCCAGGAATGGGAACTGCATGCAGAGGAAATGGCTCGGCTGAAAGCGGAGGTAGGGGGTGGGACATGTTTAAAAAGTCAAATGAGAGTGTGTGCTGAACAGTAACTCTGGACGAATAGGCTTTGAACTTTAAAATCTGTTTTGTTTTTTTTTTCCCCAGACCCGTATCTTTTTGTCCTTCCACACTTCGGGTTCACCTTCCTTTCCTTCCTGCCTCTGTCCTTTTCTCCCTTCCCCTGGCCCACCCTGTTCCCTCCTCCTCCCCCTTTTATATCGCCAGTGCGGTGGCTCGTGGCAGTCTTGGAGTGACGCTTTCCAATTTCACACTTACATGCTCCTGAAAGTATTCGTAAACTAACTCCTATGTAAAACCAATAAAGGGCAACAGCACACATTCCTGTTAGGCAGTAATTTTGTTTGACTCCCGTTCTTCTGTTTTGATCACTCATCTTCCTGCAAACATGGTGCTTTGACCTTACCAGAAGTGGAAGTTTCAGGAAGCCAAGCATGGTGGAGCTCTGTCAGCATATGAGTAATAGGAATGAAGAAGAGCTCGTGTTTATTGAGCACTTACTACGTGCCTGGACAAGGGCTAAGTACTTTTCGTGCATTATCTTTTTTAGTGCACTCAACAGTCATGTGAGGTAGGTCTGCCTGATTCCCATTTTTAGCAGATGAGGAAATTGAGACTCAGAGGAGAAGAGGATTCACTTCTGCGCCGCATTCCTACGTTTCCTTTTCCTGTTGGCTTCTTCCATCGTAGCATGTAGTGCCAAAGTACAAAGGACCAACACCCTCCATTTTCCACGCCTGGAACAGACACTGAGAAGGGAAGCAACTTGCCTGAGATCACACCGCCGATGAATGGGAGAGCAGAAACTAAACCCAGGTCTTGTAACTCTTAATCCAACAGTTGGGGGAAATCCCAGGCTGAAGCCAAAGGGCATGGATTTAAGATTTGGGTTTGAATTTTAGCCCTGTAACTTACAAACTGTGTGACCTTAGGCACGTCTCATAACCTATCTGGGCTCCAGTCTAGAAAGTGGAGACAATGATGATAGCCACCTCAGCAAGCTTATTGTGAGGTTTGAGTGAGGTCACACAAGCAAAGCAGCCCCAACAGTGACCCTCATGCCTGAAACAAGCCAGGTCCCTCTAGCGTGTTAGATACATCTCTCCTACCTGGCCAGCTGCCCGTTGTTACTTCAGGAGTTGTCTGCCACATCTGCTCAGGTCCCAGCATGCCTTGAGGCTAAGCCCACAGCAACCTTGCAAGGGGGACCCCTGCCACTAGCCACGAACCTTGAAATTCAAGACAACAGATGCCCAGCATCTGTTCACCTTATTAGCGCCTCACTAGAGAAGAGTTTGAAATCCTCCCTCACCTCCCACCAGCTGTGTTGAGAAACCCACTGGACTGTGAGGGAGGACAGGGACTGGGTCCCCCCCTCCCCCTATCCCCAAGGATTTGCATACTGTAGGTACACATTAAATGCTTACTGAATGGTTGGCTAATTATCTCATTTCTCAGCACAGCATATTAATCTCTAAGATCACAGTAATAACATAATGCAGTTTAGAAATGAAAGGATTTTACAAAGTTGGCCACAAAATACAGTAGTCTTTTATTTTCTACCTCATTTCCCCTCCCAGAAGCAATCATCCCACCTCTTTTAGCTGATTATTTCAGTACATTTCTAAGAATTCTCTTAAATTCTGACCATGGAAATCCTTCCCTCCTCTCTCAATATAGTTATTTCATAATTTTGATGAGGTCAGTATTTAGTGTTTACATTATTATGGCTATGTAAACGCTAGTCACAGCTGAGCCCTTTTGTAAAGTATGATTGCCTTTTTTTTTTTTCCCCTTGACAGTGTTCCCCCAGGAGTTAATAATTGTCTTGTATTTTTGTTATAAGCCTGGTTTCCTAGGTGCTTATTAGAATTCAACCTCAAGGCCTTCACCAAGTGTTTAAATTCCCTTTAAGACACTCAGATGCACCAGAATTCCATTGATTTCATCACCCTGAAGAAGCCTTTCCCCTGGGGACTTCTGGACTGGTTGCCTACTCTAGACTGGTGGCCCCCCATATGGCACATAGCTGTCTCCCTGGAGTCTTCCTTCACCTCCGTACCGGGGGCTCCGCTTTGTCACTCTTTGCGTTTGGATCTCCCATTCTTGTTTCCTTTGTTTTCCTTTTTCTCCACCTCCCCATTTTGGCAAAACGCATCTTGCAGTAACTTACCAAGCACGATTAAAAATGCGCTCATTCTGTTCTCTTATTTCATCGATGGTTTGGCTGGTGTAACTACATTTTTAATTCCCAGAATTAAAGCCCATACATTTCCAGAATTGAAAAGGCCCACAAAGCACTTAGCACTTAACTATATTTCAGCCAGCCCCTTCCTTCCTCAACCTTCGTTTTGAGAGGTTCCTGGTGCTGCTAAATTCATTATTCTCCGGTTTCTCTGCTGTCAGTTTTAAAATTCAGGTTTTGTTTTGTTTTAATTTACTTTACAGCTTCTAAAATTTGGTTGTTTCCTCTCTAGTGTTTTCCATTCTGGTGGGTTTAATTCTAGCTTGGAAATCATTTCCCTTCAAGATTCTAAAGGTATTTTTTATTGCTGTCTAGCTTCTGATGTTGTCCTTGAGAAGCCTGAAGCCATTCTGATTATTTATTCTCTGATCACCACCCCCCCCCACCTTTATCGAGATATAATTGACATAGCATTGCATAGGTTTAAGGTGTACAATTTGTATCATTTTGATAAACGTGCATATTGTGAAGTGATTACCACAGTAAGGTTAGTTAACCTGTCATTTCAGTAGGTGTGCCATTTTTTGTGTGAATGTAGTGAGTACTTTTAAGATCTCTCCTAGCATCTTTCAAGTGTACAGTCCAGTATTATTAACTGTAGTTACCATGCTGTCCGTTACGTCCCCAGGAATTGTCTATCACTGGAAATTTGTACCCCTTGACCGCCTACACTCTTTTTCCCACCCCCCAGCTCCCTCCTCTGGCAACTACCAATCTACTCTCTCTTTGGATGAGTTTGATTTTTTTTAGATTCCATTTGTAAGTGAGAATACATAGTACTTGTCTCTCTTTGACTTATTTCACTTAGCATAATGCTCTTGGGGTTCATCCATATTGTTGCAAAGAGTAAGATTTCCTTCTTTTTATGGGTGAATGTTTCATTGTGTATATATACCACATTTTTTTTTTTTTTTATCCAGCCATCCATCAGTGGACACTTAGGTTGCTTCCATGTCTTGGTTATTATGAATAATGCTGTGGTGAACATGGGGGTGCAGATGTCTCTTTGAGACAGTGATTTCATCTCCTTTGGATATATACCCAGACTAGAATTACTGGATCATATGGTAGTTTTTTGTTTTTTTTTTTTAGGAACCCCCATATCTCTATCCTGGCTGCACCAGCTTGGATTCCCACCAGCAGTGCACAAGCGTTTTCTATTCTCCATATGTTTGCCCGTACTTGTCAAATTATATCTTTTTGACAATAACCATTTTAATAGGTGTGAGGTGATGCCTCATTGTGGTTTTGATTTTCATTTCATTTCCTTGATAGAGTGATGTTGAGCAACTTTTCATGTACCTGTTGGCTGTTTGTGTATCTTTGGTGATTTGACTTTTTTTTTTTTTTGAAATGTTTATTTATTTTTGAGGGTGAGGGAAGGGGCAGAGAGAGAGAGGGACAGAGGATCAGCACTGACAGCAGTGGCTCGATGCAACACGGGGCTCAAACTCAAGGACTGCGAGATCATGACCTGAGCTGAAGTGGGACACTCAACTGACTGAACCACCCAGGTGCCCCTGGTTATCTGACTTTTTAACATCTCTAGAAGCTTGTAGGATCTGTGGCATTTTGAAAGTTCAAGATGACAGGCCTTGTTGTGGGCCCGTTGTTCTAAGCAGTTAGCTTTTTCAATTCTGGAAACGTATGTCCTTAAATTCTGAGAATTAAAATAACACATCTACATAAATATGCACACACACACACACACACACACTTTATGGATGTAGTAGCAAGCTTCCATGATCTTTGCCTCCTGATAGTCATACCCCTGTGTAGTTCACTGTCATTATTTGACCAAGATTGGTCTCCGTGACTAGTAGCATATAGCAGAAGTGATAGTAATTCATTTCTGAGATTGGAGTATAAAAGACACAGTGACTTCTTTTTGGTTGTCCTCTCTTTCTCTTGAATCACTTGCTTTGGGGAAAGCCAGCTACCATGTGAAGCAGCCATATGGGGAAGGCCATGTGGCAAAGACCTGAGGCCTTCTGCCAACAGCCAGCTAGTCACTGAGGCTTCTGCCAGTGGCCATGTGAGTGAGTCATTTTGGAAGACATCCTCCAGCCCCAGTCTAGCCTTCAGATGAGATTGCAGTCACCACTGACTGCTTGACTGTAGCCTTATGAGAGACCCTGAGCCAGAACCACCCAACTAAGCTGCTCCCAGATTCCTGACTCTCAGAAACTGGGTAAGAGAATAAATGTTATAGGCTGCTGAGTATTGGGGATAATTTGTTATGCAGCAATAGGTAACTAATATAATGGGTAATTTTTTCCCCTCTTTTTTTTTTTTCTTCTAGCATTCAGGGACTCCTTTTACTTAGTGGACTTCCTATGGCAGTCTTCAACTTATGTTTCCCATTTTCTCTTTGTCTTTTTATTTTCTGGGAGGTTTCCTTAAATTTGTCTTTTAACCTTTCTCATTAAAAATATTTTTCATTAAAAAAATTGTTTTAACGTTTATTTTTGAGACAGAGCGTGTGTGCAACCCAGCAGAGGAGGAGCAGAGAAAGAGGGAGACATAGAATCTGAAGCAGTCTCCAGGCTCTGAGCTGTCAGCACAGAACCTGGCATGGGTCTTGAACCCACAAGCTGTGAGACTGTGACCTGAGCTGAAGTTGGACACTCAGCTGACTGAGCCACTCAGGTGTCCCCGCAAAAAAATTCTGAGAGCTATTTTTATCTTCTGATTTTGTATCCTTTTTTTTTTTTTAATTTTTTCAACATTTATTTACTTTTGAGAGACAGAGCACGAGCAGGGAAGGGCAGAGAGAGAGGGAGACACAGAATCCGAAGCAGGCTCCATGCTGAGCTTTCAGCACAGAGCCCGACGTGGGGCTCGAACCCATGAACCATGAAATCATGACCTGAGCTGAAGTTGGACGCTTGATCGACTGAGACACCCAGGCCCCCCTATCCTTTCTGCTTTTTAAAGTGTCGTACCCGTTTCTAGAGTCCTTTCATCCAGAGACTGTTGTATCTTCTCTAGAGAAGAAACTTCTGGTCTTTTGCCAGGTTGTCTCTAGGCAATCTTGCTGTATGAAGTAGGGAAGCAGATCTGATGAACTGACAGCTTTTTTTTTTTTTTCAT